TCCTGTTCCCTGCCTGGTGCTTAGTAGATGCTCAGAAACTGGGAATCTTACCCCAATCCAGCTCCCGCCTGGATCCCCAAGGAGAGACCCCAAACCCCCTCCCCACCCCCGGACAAACTCAGCAACCTATAGCCACCGCCTCTCCAGTGCTCCCAGGGGCCTGCCTGGCTGGGGGCAACTGTGAGTGGCACCCAGTCCAGCCTTGCCCCTTCACGCCTGGGGACCCGAGCCGGGCGCCTTCCTGCTGTCCTGGGTGCTCTTTCAGTGGCCACCACAGGTGGACCAGCTGGTGATGGAGGGCTGGCCGGGGGCCCCGCTGGGAGCCACTGGAGGGCAGGAGAGGGGCACAGCACTGAGTTTGGATGGGCCCAGGGCGAGAGCCATGGCACAGAACCACCCCAGGGGGCACCAGTCTCTGGTCTGTGCACAGCCTGGGGTCCTTGTGGTGGCACATGGCGGTGTCACAGTGGGTTGTCACTGTCTCTTTTCTCCCAGAAGGCCAGCCTGCCCACTCCCCACACCCCAAGAAGGAAACCCTCCTGGGACCAGAAACACCCAGGTTGTGGACAGCCTGGGACTTCACAGAACCCTGTGGATGGCACAACCTGCTCCAGGGGATCTGGCCCCGGGCTGGGGCGGAGGCAGCAGAGGCCAGCGGGTACAGCAGTGTCCCTTCCACACCAGTCCAGCCTGCAGGGCACTGGGAGGTCCAGGGCAGGGTCACTTGGGGCTGGATGGGGGGTGGGTGGGAGGCAGTGTGTGGCTCTTCTCCAAGGAGTCCTCCTTTTTTAATTTTTTTTTAATTGTGGTAAAATACACATAACATAAAATAACCTTAATTATTTATAAGTGCGCAGCTCAGTGGCATTAAGCACAGGCGCGCTGTTGTACAAACATCACCACCATCGTCTCCAGAACTTCCTCATTGTCCCAAACCGACACTCTGCCTCCATGAGACGCTCACTGCCCACCCCTCCCCCAGCCCCCGGCCCCACCCTCCTCCTTTCTGTCTCTGTGAGTGTGACTCCTCCAGGGACCTCACAGAAGCGGGATCATGTAGGATGTATCCTTTCTGGCTGGCTCATCTCGCTCAGCACAGTGTCCTCAAGGTCCATCCACGTTGGAGCAGGTGTCAGAATCACCTTCCTTTTTAAGGCTGAATAACATTCTGTCATAGGGATGGACCACATTTCACTTATCCATTCATCTGTTGATGGACACATGTTGTTTTTACCTCTTGGTGATTGTGAATGATGCTTCTGTGAACATGGATATACAAGGGTCTCTTTGAGACCCCGCTTTCAATTCTCTTGGGTACAGAGCACAAGTGGAATTGCCATGTCACATGGTAATTCTACGTTTAATTTTGGAGGAACTACCACACTGTTTACCACAGCAGTTGCACCATCCCTATGAGAAGACCTCCCTTATCATGGGGAGCAAAGGCCCCTGGAGCACCGCCCCCATCATGGTGCCCTTTGCTTTGCAGTCAGCCTGGGAGGGGTGGAGTTGGGGTGTGCGTTATTTAGAAATGGGTTATGGGGCTTCCCTGGTGGCGCAGGGATTAGGAATCCGCCTGCCAGTGCAGGGGACACGGGTTCGGGCCCTGGTCCAGGAAGATCCCACATGCCGCAGAGCAACGAAGCCCCTGCGCCACAACTACTGAGCCCGCGCGCCTAGAGCCCGTGCTCCGCAACAAGAGAAACCATCGCAATGAGAAGCCCGCGCACCGCAACGAAGAGTAGCCCCCGCTTGCCGCAACTAGAGAAAGCCTGCGTGCAGCAACGAAGACCCAACACAGCCAAAGATAAATAAATAAATAATTTTTAAAAGAAAAAAGAAACGTGTTGTGGTCCTAGATCCCTGAATTCTAGCATAATCATACCCAGCTCGTGGGTTTGGCCTGGAGCCCCACATCCACAGCAGGCACCTTGCCTCACCGGCTGCTTCTAGACACCTCACCCCACCCTAGACTTACCGAGCTCTCCAGGGTGGGGGCAGGACGAACTCTCCCCACCCTCCCCCCAGCTGCTGGGGGCAGCCAAAGCGGAGGGTCCGAGCCCCCTCCACGCTCTGGGATGCTTCCGCGCTAAGCCTGCCAGCCAGGAGAGGCCCTGGGCTCTTCCCGCCTCCTCCCTCCTCCGCAGCCCCCCCAGGCTGCTGGGCCACTCACCTCGGACGGACGTGTGAGCCGGGAGCCCAGCGACTTTCCCACACTTTGGCCCCATTCACAGTGTTAAACGGCCCACAAAGGCCAGGCGTGTGCCTCGGAGGCCGCGCTGCCATCTGGCCCGCACTCGGGGAGGGATCAAGCCTTTCATCCGGCCGGGCTGAGATTTAACACCATTCATTTCATATTTCCCACAACTCAAAATTGGATCAAAGCTGCTACTGTCCAGGGGGAGGAGGGAGGGGAGGAAGGCGGGAGGAGTCAGCCTCCCACGGCCCACCCGCCACCCTCACCTCCACCCTGGCCCACTGCGGGTGGGCGTGCAGCTGGGGTGGGGTGGGGTAGGGCCTGGACCACGTCTCTGGCACGTGTCTCCCTTGGGCCGAGAGCTGGCTTGGGGGAGGTGGCCAACTGCCCCTCTGAAGCTGGCGGGGTGGGGGACAGGGGGACGGGCCCGCCCCGCGTGCTGCCCTCAGTTCCGGGCAGAGCCCTGGGGCCCCCGCTGCCCGCAGCGAGGCAGTTGAGCACACGCCCCTCGTCCCTGCATTCCCTCTTCCTTGGCCAAGCTCCTCCTTGGCACCAGGTGCCGGGCTGGCAGGGTGTGGGCGACGGGGACACAGGCAACTAAGCCATCCTGCCCTCCCCCTGACAGTCCACCCCCAGGGAGTCCATAGGCAGGCGAGGGACCCACCAAAACGTGCCGGTCGCCCATCACAAGCCCCACTTTTGGTGCAAAAATGGCTCCACTGAGCGTCACCGGGTGCCCCTTGCAGCCTGTGGGATATGCCAGCCCACGCTGACAGTGCCACCCAGGGCTGTGGAGCAGAGGGCAGAGCACATGTCTCCAGCACGCCCATCCCAGTTTGCCTGGGTGCCCTCTGCCCTTTTGCACCAAACCTGATCAGGCCGGATATCTGTGGTAGGGGGTCCACCTGCTCGAGAGGAGCCCAGGGCTCAGGGTCACCCACCTCCCAAAGCCAGCCTGGGGCCTGTTTCCCCTTCAAGAGAGGTGCTCTGGGGGTAGAGCGGGTGCCAAGGGGTGAATGGGGCTGCCCTCCACTCCCTTCCAAAGTCACCTATAGGTTCCCCCCCGGGAGCTCCCCAGCCTAATCCATCCCAGTGGGTGACCAGCAGGCTCTTGGGGCTGCCCTGTGCTGGCTCCAAGCCAAGCCTGCCCTGGCCGTCCTGACACCATCCTCCTGCTTCCCGGATGGGCCCATCTCCGGGTCCCCAAAGGCTCCTTGTGCTGCGGACCTCTTGAGCAGGTCCACCAAGCAGGCCACTCATAGCTGTGAGTCACTGCCAAGACCCTTGTTAAGGCCCTGCAATTCCCAGCTGCGCTCGGACGTGGCTGCCGTCCAGGGAACTGTGCTCCTGGGTTTAGACTCTGGCTCACGCACCCTGATGCCAGCCGCTGGCTCCCCGGGCTGAAGCCCTGCCTCCGCTTTGGACCTTGCTGGGTCCCGCCTTGCCCCTAGAAGGTACTCCCAGCCCCACCCCCTCCCGCAGTCCCTGCAGAACTGGATTCCTGGCTGCAGAGAATCAAAGTAAAGTGATTGTTTTGGGTGGAGGGGTGCTCCCAACAAGCCCTCCCCTAGAGACCCAGGGTGGAGTTGGTGGCCCCCCAAGCAGCGGCTGGCCCTCAGCTGGGCTGACCAAGTACCGAGATCAGCGGTTCCTCCAGGGGGTCTGAGCAAGTACAGCGTTCGTGTGGGCTCCAGGCAGGAGCCTCATGTCTGCCACCTGGCACCCCCTTCCTCAGCACTGGCAAAATGCCTAGGGACAGCAAGCCCTACAAGTGCTCCTAAGGCAGTGCAGAGGGCAGCATGCAGCCAAGGCTTCCCCCGAGTCACGCAGGAGCAGTGACCACACACCTGTACAGAGCACGCCCGCAGCCACGTGCCCTCCCGTGCTCCGTGGACAGCCACGGTCAGACTCCCATCCAGATGGGGGTGGGGTGGGACCCTGGAGGCCACCTGCTGATTCAGTGCACCCCAGTTGCCACAGTCTGCTGAACTGCTCCAGGGAGGAGGGAGTGCAGCTCCTGGGGGGACCGCCTAGGTGCCGGGCTCCATGCTGGGCGTTTCGGGTACTCTGGCTCCCTGAAGCTACCCACAGCCCAGCCAGGGAGGCGTGGCAGCCCATTTTCTAGCTCTGAAGTCACGTGTCCCAGGTGACAGCCTGGGGAGACTTGCCACATGTGCCAGTAGGTCTGATCCTGAGAGCCTGGGCCCCTCTTCCACCTGTGCAGAGGGAGGTGACTGTGTCTGTTCAGGAAAAGTGCGGCTTCCTCCGTCCCCCTCGCCTGTCAGGGACGGTGCCCACCCTCCTGGAAGCCGCCCGCACTTGTGCATTCTAAAGCTTCCCCTTATCTGGGCTCCTGGCCTCTGCCAGCCAGCAGCGGGGAGTCGCTGGGGAGGGGGGGAGAAGGGAGAGAAGAGGGGGAGGGAGGGAAGGGGAGGGGAGGGGCGCAGCTCCTTCCTGCCCCCACCCTTGTCCCCGCGGCCTGGGAAAAGGCAGCATATTGAGGCGCGGGGCTCCCAGCATCAGGCCCCGGGATGCTAATGAGGGCGAGCGCGTTCCCACAGCCCGGACATTGTGCCGCGCGGCCCACCTGCTCCTCGGGGAGCGCCCATTGTGCCCGCGCCAATTCACAGGCAATTTAGCGTGCGCTAATGGGCCGGCGCCTTTGTGCGGCCCGCGCCGCCATTGGCCGCGGAGTGTGGGAACGGCCGCGGCGCCCGGGCCCCAGGCGCCAGCCCGCCGCCCGCGCCTATATAGGGGCCGGGGCCCGCGCCAGCACGGGACGCGCCCGCTCCGCTCCCTGCTTACTCGCCTCCTCGCCTCTCCCCGCGCCAGGCATGGCCCCCAGCACCGTGGCCGTGGAGCTGCTCAGCCCCAAAGAGAAAAACCGAGTAAGTGCGCGGCCGCGGCCCCTGCGGCCCCCGCGCTGGCGCGGCCCCGCTGACGCCCCCTCCTTCCGCCCGCAGCTGCGGAAGCCGGTGGTGGAGAAGATGCGCCGCGACCGCATCAACAGCAGCATCGAGCAGCTGAAGCTGCTGCTAGAACAGGAGTTCGCGCGCCACCAGCCCAACTCCAAGCTGGAGAAGGCCGACATCCTGGAGATGGCCGTCAGCTACCTGAAACACAGCAAAGGTGAGCAGCCCCGCGCCCTGGAGCCCCGGCCCGCGCGACCCCCGCCCCGCCCCGCTCCCCGCCGCCCCGCGCCCCGGGCTCCCCGGCCCCGCTCACCGCCGCCCCGACTCCCCGCAGCCTTCGCCGCCGCCGCCGCCGCCGGCCCCAAGAGCCTGCACCAGGACTACAGCGAGGGCTACTCGTGGTGCCTGCAGGAGGCCGTGCAGTTCCTGACGCTGCACGCGGCCAGCGACACGCAGATGAAGCTGCTCTACCACTTCCAGCGCCCGCCGGCCGCGCCGGCCGCGCCCGCCAAGGAGCCCAAGGCGCCTGGCTCCGCGCCCGCGCCCGCCCCGGCCAAGGCCGCCGCCGCCGCTTCTGCGCGCCAGCCCGCCTGTGGCCTCTGGCGGCCGTGGTGACCCGCGGGCGGCAGCCCTGCCCGGAGGACCAGAGGGCCAGCGCGTTCCTCTGGCAGAGGGAAGGGCCTCCCCATCGTCCGTGCCGCCCCTGGCTTGGACTGGCCCCTTCTCCGGAAGGCTCTCTCTCCAGGCTGGCGGGCCAGCAGGAGGGTCATTCTCAGAGAATGTGCGTGCAGTGTCCTTGTCATTTAGGGCCCATCTTCTGCCAAATGTCTGACCCCATGGGGTTGCTCTGTGTTTGCATTTCAGCAAGTGACTTCTGGGAAGTCCCCACTGCCGGGGTTCTATAATATTTGTAGGCGGCGGGGCTCGGCCAGCCGGCGCCCCATGCGTAGAGGGCTTTCTTCAGATCCGGTGCTGCCAGGCCAGTGGGCCTGGCGCAGGCCGTGCCGTGGGCACATTTGCCTTTTGTGAAGGCGGAACTCAAGGTGTATCCTCGTAGGAACGACAGTGTCAGCCTGGATGGGCGCGGAAGGACAGGGCAGAGCCGTGGGCGCAAAGCCCCTGGGGATGCTTTGCTGTCTGGTCGGGGCTCACACCGGGGCTGTGTGGGGCGGCTGGGGGTCTCCACCACGATCCTTAAAGGATTCCCGTGTGGGTGGGTGCACGTGGGCACAACTCTGTACTCAGAATTTGAATCTCAGTCACGTGGGAGCCACGGGACTGCTCTAAAGACTTCTAATAAAATCCGACTAGTTCAGCCCCCTCCGCTGTCTGTCTCTTGTGCCTCACACGTGTCCTCGGTGGCCACCGGGCAGGCGGGTCTGCAGGGATGACGGGGAGTGGGGGCTATCATGGTCTGCAGCCACGGGTGGGCAGTGTCCTTGCCAGCGACCCCCTGGACACAAGAAGAAGGGCTGGGCTCCTGCTGAAGGGAGGGGGGAGGGAGGAGGGCAGGCAGAGGAGAAGCCCGGAGGGAGGACGCAGAGGTGACAGGCAGGGAGGGAGGGAGGGGGCGGAGCAGAAGGTGGAAATGAGGGGTGAGGGGTCAGGTCAGGAGGCCGGGGAGAAACGGGCTTGGGGGGAGAAAGTGAGTGAGAGGCAGGGAAGCAGGGGAGAGGCAGGCCGGAAGGGAGAGGGCCTCACGGAACACATCAGGTCCCCCGTGTGCAGTAGGAGGGGGCATGGTGGGGAACCTGGGTTCCCGCCCTAGACCTCTCACTATAGCTCCCTGCAGGTGGGGGTGGTGGCGCAGTGACAGGAATGTCCAGCTCTGTCCAGCTGAGAGCAACCCAAAAGCCACAGCCTGCAGCAGACCTCTTGCTGCAGCAAAAAGGGTGTAGCTGGGCCAAACACACAGAAGGTGTTTGCCCCGCCACGGTCCTCCCTGCCCGGTGGCCCTGTCCTGGGACAAGCTCCTGGGGTAACTTTCTCGGCTGGCCCACAGATGGCCAGCTGCCCTGCCTTCCTGCAGGTGGACCGCTCACCAAGGCTGAAACAGGCAGTGCTGGCAATGAACCTGCCAAGGGCAGGCCCTGGTCTCAGAAAGGGCACCTATTTTTAGGCAGGCCCGGGGTGTTGGTTGAGTCTGCAGGGACCCAGAGCTACCCAGACTTGCCCTCCCTCGTTTCTGCTTGGCACCGCTCTTTGCTCTGCCTTCCATCCCTTTCTGTCCACTCTGCAGCGGAGGTCCATAGCACCCCTTCCAGGCCAGTACTGCTAGTGGCCTCTGGGGTCCCTGCTGAGCCCTGGGAGTGGTGAGCAAGGGATGGGAAGCCCCTCTTACACCCCTCACGTTTATTGCTTGTGCGGCAGGCACATCATTGAACTTAGCGGGGGCAATCGCTGTTCTCGTGGGTGTACCTCCTGGTCAGGCTGACCTGGTCAGGCAGCTGGTGGCATGCTCAGACCGAGGCTGAGGTCCAGAGACTCAAAGTAACTGGCCCAGAGTCACCTAGGAGGCAGGTGCCAAAGCCACCGCGGGCCCTCGGCATGCTTCCAACACTGGGCTCTTTTGCAAAGTGCCCACTGCCTTTGAGGGGTACACGCCCCTTAAGAAGAGCCTCCACGCCTTCCCAGAGACTAGCCCTGGAAGCCTGTCCCCAACACCACATGGAAGCTTTCTCAGCTTGTTCCCTGCAAACTCCCACAGACTCCCTCTTTTGCCAGAAAACGGCCTCCTCCAGGAAGGCTGCTCGGCTTTCCCCTGCACTTTCTGAGGATCTCACCATCATTCACACATCTCGCCCAGCTGCAAGGGTAGCTCCTACTCCGGGCGGGGTGAGAAAGGCTTCTAGAGGGCGGGGTCCGCAACTCCCCCAGTTTGCATAGGGTTTTTAACACCCACGGTCCTGCACTCCTAGGGAACCAAGCTGGTGGGTCCCAAGCGTCTTCACGTGCAGGTGCCAGGCTCACAACCGCAGTCACTAAAGAAACCGATTACCCTGGTGGTCTCCAAACCCCAGGTGCCCCCTCTGCACTAGCTCATATCATTTGAGGTCAGCATCCGGCCAACTCAGTGAAGGAACAACAAAGACGACGACAGCCCAGAGGTTTTGTGTTGAGCTGCCTCGCGGTCCGGTCTGGGGGACCCGCGCCCGCCTGCCTGCGTCGGCCCTCCAGCCGCCACCGCCGCGGCGGCGGGGGGGCGAGGGCCGGCCCGAACGCTCATTAGCATAATCTATGCGCGGGAGGCGTTTAGCAGTCAAATATATGCGCATATATCTCCATGGCTGATGAGGCTGGCCGAGCACATTCAAAATGGCGGAGTGTGGAGGGAGCGGCAGCGGGAGCAGCGGGGACAGCCTGGACAAGAGCATCACACTGCCCCCCGACGAGATCTTCCGCAACCTGGAGAACGCCAAGCGCTTCGCCATAGACATAGGTCGCCGCGGGCGGGCGCGGGGAGCGGGGCGGCGGGGGCGGGCGCGGGCGCGGGCAGCGAGGCCGGCGGGCCGGGGCGGTGGCAAGGACGAAAGGCGGGGCGCGGGCTGTCGGCGCGCACGGCCTGTCGGGCCTTGTAGTCCGCGGGCAGCCGGCGGCGCCCGCTCGCTGCGGCAGCCGGACTACAGCTCCCGGCAGGCGCCGCGCGGCCGGAGCGGGGCATGCAGGGGCTCGTAGTCCCGCGGGAGAGGCGGCCTGGCTGCCCCTCTGGCATCCCGCCTCGGGGGTGGGGGTCGGCCGCCGGGCGGCGCAGCTCCCCGCCTGCCGGAGATCGGGGGCCGGGTGTCTGGGGCCGGGGCTTTGGAGGACCTGGGCGCAGACCTCAGGTCGGAAGCACCCCCGAGCCCCGCCCCCCGCAGGGCCCTCCTTCCCTCTCGGACGCGTTGACGCCTCCCGCCGACCGCTTTCTCAGATGTGGACGCTGAGGCGCGGATACCCGGGCGGTCCGGGGCCGGTCCATGACCTCCGGCCCGGGACCCCCGCGCGCCTGGCCCGCCCCGCTCCCCTGTCCTTGGGGGGGGGGCGGCGTCCAGGGAAGTGGGGAGCGTCCTGAGCCCCCACCTGCAAAGCCGGAGGCCGGGCGGAGCCAGGCAGAGGGCGGGCGAGGGCAGCTGCGAGCCTGAGGTCGGCCCCCCGAAGGGGACCCGCCACAACGGTGCCCGGCTGGACGTTGGGCCAGAGACGGTGAGCGCGAGGAACCGCCTGGGGGCTCAAGTCAGCCCCTCGGGGCCCTGCCGCTGTCCTCGGAGCCCTGTGCGCTCCGGATGTGATGGCAGTCCAGTGGCCGTGTGCTCGGAGCTTCCGCACTTGATGCTGCTGCCCTGACCCTGGGGGCTCTGCTCCAACGGGTCGGCACCTAACGTTTCTGAAGCGCCCCCGAAAATTGGCTGGCCACAGGGCTTACCTGGGTCGTTCTGCGTGGCCCTAGCTTGTGGCGCGGAAGGGGGAGTGCCTGCCTGTCCTCCAGGGCCGAGCCCGGTCAGGGTTCCTTAGCAGAAGGACACTCAAAGGCATATTTTCAGTGTCCATGTTTATTTCCTCTCTGAAATTTCCCTCCGGCTCTGGGTCCTCTGTTTGGTTCTTTAAAAGACACGTTCATTGTTACTAAGGACAGACATTTGTGGGGGGTTTTTTGGGGGGGGGGCGGGGTTTGGCCACCCTGCGAGGTTTGTGGGGTCTTCGTTCTCCGACCAGGGATTGAACCTGGGCCCTCAGCAGCGAGAGCGCACAGTCCTAACCACTGGACCGCCAGGGAATTCACAAGGACAGACTTTTGTTAGTGTAGCTGATGGGAGGTCACGGCTCAGGGCAGGGGTCCTCCACCCAGGAATCCGCAAAGCCAGAGTGCTGTCAGTGGTTCACAAGCAGGTTTCCGGTTTCCTCTCCCCTCCCCAAGCCTCTCAGTCCAGCTCTGACGGGGCTCCCCTCTCCGCTGGTGGAGTCCCTGCTTCAAAAGCCTCAGGGACGCTTTGGGTCAACACATATTTGAAGCTGACTTGACTCCAGGTTTCTGCTGGGCAGAGGGAGGGAGGGTCCCTTGGGTGAAGCAGAAGGGGCCACAGGGCAGGGATGTGCATGGAGGTGCCTGGAGTGGAAGGACAGCCCCGCACCAGGCCCCGGGGTTCTGGATGAACTGGCGGGTCTTGGCTCAGGTCCCTCCCATCAGTCGGGGATGCTGTGGGCCCCAGGGTGGAGCATGGGGTGGGGTAGCCTGGAGAGCCCATGGCATCCACCAGAGAGCGCGGGACTGTGCTGGCCACCGGGTCACTGCCCTCGTCAGGTGTGACGTGTGCGGCCCCGGCCCGAGTTGGCATTCACTCTAATCGCAAGGGACCCAGAGAGCAGGTGGGCTCCCGCAGGCGCCCCCTGTGCTGCTCTGTGAACTCACCCTGGCTCAGACTGACCGCACTGCTCTGCTCGCAGCCCCGTGCCCCATCCGCTGTCTCCTGGCTCGGGTGGGAGACAAGCCTGGGCAGTGCCGGGCTTCGCCCCACTCGGGGTGCATGGTGTGCAGTGCACAGAACCCAGCTCACTCCCCACGGCCCCCACCCCGCAAACCCCAACACTGTGTGTTTTGGTTGTGATTTATAGCTGACTTGAAGAGCACACTGTCTGGAATTGGATTTCTGTGATCTGGGTAACTTTTGATGAGCTTCTCAAAAGATATCTTCATCCCTTTGTGTTGCCTGTCTTTTTAGGAAACGATTTATTCACAGAGGTGAATCGGGCAACAAACATTTCAGTGGAAGATGCTCCGTGCCAGGCCGGGATTGGGGGCAGGGAGGAGGGATAAGGAGGCTTAAGGCCAAGTTCTGTGTCTTAAGCTGACGGTCTGGGGATGAGAGCAAGCCCAGGACGACGGTGTTCAGTGACCAAACGTGGCCCAACGAGGCCAGGTCGCAGGACGTCCCGGGAGGCCCTGTCCACACTGCCAGACAGGCGGCTCCGATGGGACAGGTGTGATTGGTCTCGGAAGCTGGGCTTTGATTTTTCTTACCTGGAAGAGCTTTGGCCTTCGGATACTGTGTTTCCAAATCTGTGTTTCTGACTTGAGTGTTTGTGGAATACTTCCTTAGTGTTTTGTCACAAAACAACAGTTGTTAATAATTTTAGCGGCCTTCTCAAGACAAGGGGTTTCCCCCTTATTTTTGTTGGGCCTCCTAGGAAACACAGTTGGTTCCAAGGTCACTTTGCAGAGCTGAGCCTTCTGCCTCTCTCTGCTCTGCCGTTCGTGGCTTTCACAGCCGTGAATCACCTATAGCCTCCGATGCCTCCTCTCTGACTCAGGAGTGGGGCTCGCCAGAACTCCTCCTCCAGGAGGACTGCTCTGGGGATCTTTTTAACTTGCCCAAAGGCCTTATCTGCTTCCTGATATTCTGTCCCTGGTCACAGGCCAGGGGCATCCAGGCTTCCCAGGGGCATTAACAAGTCCCCGCCGCCCTCTGCAGGGCCTCCCTGGTGAGTCTGGGCCTCAGCTGCTGCTCTCAGGCCCCTTCCTTGCACATTCCTGGTGAAAACAGCCCCTCCCCCGCCTGCATTGCCTTCTCCACCTCCTTCCACGGACCGTCAGTTGTATGCTTTTCAATGAAAACAGTGGATTTGTCAGCTTTTTCCTTTGGTTCGTCCTCAACATCCGAGTCTGAAACAGAATTTTCCTAAACCACTGAGGATCGCCGAGTCACCCAGAAACAGCAGGTCCCTTGCTCGTCAAGGACTCAGTGCTGGTGGAGAAACAGACGATCTCCGTTTCAGTCTGGGCCCTGAGAGGACCAGAGCTTTTCAAGGAAGGCAGAGCGTGTTTAGGCCTCACAGTTCATTCCCTTCCTCTGTTTGGTGCCCTGCAGGGTTTTCACGTTCAAGTAGCACCAAACTCCTTGTGGGCAGGACCCAGGTCTGGCAGAGGAGGGCCTGTGGAAGGGCAGCCTCAGGTCCCTTCCAGCCACTTCTGAATCCGCTGCATCTGTGTGTCCCCTGTAGGCGGGTCGCTGACCAAGCTGGCATACTACTCCACCGTACAGCACAAAGTTGCCAGAGTGCGCTCCTTCGACCACTCAGACAAGGTGAGCCTCCTGGGAGGACCCCGGGCAGGCCCTGGAAGCTTCTAGTGCCGATGCCCCTCCCTCCATGCTCCCAGCTTAGTTCCCCTTCCGTCCCAGCCCTGGCAAGAGCACCCCCGCCTCCCGCCTGCTCGTGCCTCCCCCCCGAGTCTCCCACCTGCGTCGCCATCAAGACTCCCACGGACTTCAGGGTAGGCAGAAATCGTCGGCGCTGCTGAGGGTGCCCAGGGGCTGTGTGTCAGCGTCGTCCCCTCCCCGAGGCAGTGCACACACGCGGGTTCCCCACCCTCACCCCCAGGACACAGAGCAGGACCACGAGCCGCCCTATGAGATCTCCGTTCAGGAGGAGGTTACCGCCAGGCTGCACTTTGTCAAGTTCGAGAACACCTACATAGAAGCCTGCCTGGACTTCATCAAAGACCATCTGGTCAACACCGAGACCAAGGTCATCCAGGCGACCGGGGGCGGGGCGTACAAGTTCAAAGACCTCATCGAAGAGAAGCTGCAGCTGAAGTGAGTGGGGACCTCGGGGCGGGGAGGGGAGCGTGGGGGCCGGTTGGCCTCCGCTCACGGGGTCGGGCCCTGACGTGACGGCCGCAGTGGCCCCTCTCCTGCACCAGCCCGTTCGCCCGGCTCTAGGGGTTCCTAAGACCTCAGGACCCAGTGAGGCTCCGGGTGGCTGGTGGGTGGCCGCGGGTCTGAGGCCAAGCTCTGGGCCGGCTGCAGTGGAATTCAGGTGGCTGAAACTCAGGAAGGCTCGGGGGACTGAAGATGGTGGGTGGGGAGAGGCGAGGGCTGAAAGGAAAGGAACGGAGCCCCGAGACCGAGTCGGGCCCGCTCCCGCTGGACGGAGGGTCCCGGGGCCACGGCCCTGCCAGGGGGGCGGGGAGGCAGGGGCCATTCGTGCCGTGGCCCGTGCCGGTGCCAGTGGCTGGGCTGCTCCCTGGCAGGGTTGACAAGGAGGACGTGATGACCTGCCTGATCAAGGGCTGCAACTTCGTGCTGAAGAACATCCCGCACGAGGCCTTCGTGTACCAGAAGGGCTCCAACCCCGAGTTCCGGTTTCAGACCAACCACCCCAGCGTTTTCCCGTACCTCCTAGTCAGCATTGGCTCTGGGGTCTCTATCGTGAAGGTGGGGCCTGGCTCGTGGGAGAGGACGGGCTCTGCAGAGCTTTGTTGAGCACTGGCTGCATGTCGGAGCCATGCCGGGCACAGGCACGCGGGCAAAGGGAGGCGGACACAGACCCAGGCCTGCCTCTGGCGCTCACGGCGCGAGGCCGCACGCGGAGTGCCTGGCGCGGGCGGTCTGTGGGGAGGTTGGTCCCCTACTTCCAGCACGAGCACCTGCCGAGCCCACCCAGACTCGGCCTTCAAGGGCGCCGCCACCCAGGGCGGGGGATACCCCTGAGCCGCCGCGTCCCCGGGACCTGCTGGGCAGTGGCTGGGGGCCCCCTTGCTAACGCACCTGCCCTCGTTTCGCTCCAGGTGGAGACAGAGGACAGGTTCGAGTGGATCGGCGGCAGCTCCATCGGGGGTGGCACCTTCTGGGGGCTTGGGGCTCTGCTCACCAAAACTAAGGTATTTGGGCAGCTCTAGGAGGATGCTCCTGGCTCCACGGAACAGCCTGTTTCCTGGTCCCCTCAGGAAAGGGTTGGCGGCTGTGGGGTCGGAGGCTTGTGCTTGGCTGGGGTTGTTGTGAAAGTGGCTCTTCCCTGTACCTCGTCCTGCGTCCCGAGTCTCTGAAGGATGGGCGTCCAGGTGGCCAGAGTGTCGCCCAGCTGGGTGGTCCACAGAGGCTGCCCGTCTCCCCCCACCTCTGGGCCATGACAGGAGAGGGCTTTCCCTACCCAGCACGGCGGCTGGCCTCCTTCCGTGGGCTCGTCCAGGGCCGTGGGGTTCTCCCAGCTTGCGGCTCCTCAGGTGCTCCCGTCTGCTCTGTCCCCACAGAAGTTTGACGAGCTGCTGCATCTGGCTTCCAGAGGCCAGCACACGAACGTGGACATGCTGGTGCAGGACATCTACGGAGGGGCCCACCAGACCCTGGGGCTGAGCGGCAACCTCATCGCGAGCAGCTTCGGGAAGTCGGCCACCGCGGACACAGGTACCGGCCTCTCGCCCGCTCTCGCTCTCGGAGGCGCGTGGCGCCCACCTGGCCGCTTGCCCAGCGTGCTGCTTCTGCCCCCCAGAGTTCTCCAAGGAGGACATGGCCAAGAGCCTGCTGCACATGATCAGCAACGACATCGGGCAGCTCGCCTGCCTGTACGCCAGGCTCCACTGCTTGGACCGGGTGTACTTCGGCGGCTTTTTCATCCGCGGCCACCCCGTCACCATGCGCACCATCACCTACAGCATCAACTTCTTCTCCAAGGTAATGGGCCGCCGCGTCCTTCCTCTGCTCTGCCCGCCCCTGGCCCGGGCCCCCATGTCTCCAAACTCGCAGGCCTGAGAGGGGACGGGAGCAAGGCGGGACCCAGCTGAGCACCCCCAAGCCCCTGCCCGCAGCCCCTTCCCACCCACTAGCTCCGGGCATCCTGCACTTGGGGCGCCGTGGCCATCCCTGAGTTTGGCGCGTTGCCGGGGGTGGGGCCTAGAGACCGCCTCCCACTGTCTGCGAGCTCCAGGTGAGCTTCTAGGTGTCAGTCACGGCGTGGGGGTGTGTGGCCCCCAGCAAGCGTGGGGAACTGGGTGGGTGTCCGTTTTGTGGAAGAAGTTGCCCCCTGCCCCCCCCCACGCCACCCCCATCCATGGAAAAGTGGTCTTCCGTGAAACCGGTCCCTGGTGCCAAGAAGGCCGGGGACCGCTGCTCTAAACGGTGGGCCCTTGAATTCCGCGTGTGCGTACAGCCCCGTGGACAAGCGCCGAGTTGGGAGGGAGGCCACCTGTGTCGGGTGGACTTGCAGCCTTGGGCTGAGTGGCGCTTCAGGGGCGTCTCCGTGGCAGGGGGAGGTCCAGGCGCTGTTCTTGAGGCACGAAGGCTACCTGGGCGCCATAGGAGCGTTTCTTAAAGGAGCCGAGCAGGACAGTGAGTACGGCGTGGCCTATGTTGGGCAGCGGCATCGGGAGGCGGGGAGGCCTTGGGGAGTGACTGGAATGGCTGCTCGTGTTAAGTGACGATCGAGGGCTGTGGGTGGACATGGTGTCTTCGTGGGCCCTCCCCAGCAGTGGCAGGAGCCTTTGCTGTGATTCTCCTGAGGGGCCGGTGGAAACCGACTCGCATGGGTGCCACGTAATCAACCCATGGGTCCTTGAGTGACGGGGCTCCGTGCAGGGGCTGCGCACACGGCCTCGCCTCCGAAGGCCTCAACCCGCCGGCTCCTCCCGGCCGTCTGACCAGCTGTCGCTTCAGATGCGCATCCGGTCTGTCCTCTTTGAAGGACACGTGAAGGAATCGCAGGCGTGATTCTGCGCGAGGAAGCACAGGGCAGACTGCGTGGGGGTCAGCGCCAGTCAGAGCAGCCCAGGCAGACCTTCACTGCGTCCCTAAGTCCAGCTTCTTACTTGAGATAAGCCACGGGTACCTTTCGGAAGCTACCGCTCAGCTTGAGAGGTCTGTGTGCCAGTAAGAAATAACCCAACAGAACAACGCCCCCGGCTCACCCGGCGCCAGGGAGGCCTTCGGCAGCCGGTCCTCCCAGAGGCAGTCCAGCCGCCCAAGGTTTGCCGAGCCGCTCGCCCCTCGGTTGACGCCGGGTCTCTTGTCCCGCAGACCCAAACCAGTACAGCTGGGAAGAGAACTACGCCGGCAGCTCCGGGCTCATGAGCTCCTCGCCCGAGCTCTGCCCAACGCAGCGGCCGAGGAGTGGCACCGTGAGTACGGGCGCGGGTGGCCCTGAGTCCCACGTGCGCCGCTTCCGCTGCGGCCTCCTGGTGGTCCCCGAGGAGAGCCTCCGTGCCGCCGTGGCCGGGCTCGAAGGCGCCTCCTCCTGGTGCAGGTCATGAACCACAGACTCTGGGGCCGAAGAGAGACGTTTGCAGCCTGCAGCTGGCTGTTCTCATTTCTCCCGTAGTGTCTCACATTTTTCGGGTGTTCAGCGGGAGCCCTCGGTGCCACGCGGTCCCCGCCGGGTTTGCAGGGAGAATATAAAGTTTCGGGACCACAGGGGGTCTTTCCTAGGGCTCTGGGACCGTTCACAGCAGAATCGGGGTAAAACTGTGGGTCACGGGCACCAGCCTGGGCCCCTTCTCTTAGAACACGTTCTCTGCGTGATGGTTTCAAGGCGGTACCGAGCCTGCAGAGTCTGCAAATTTCCTCAGGCGATTCCACCTTTTCCTCAGTCGCCCCTTGGGGTGAGGCCCACCATGTCTGGATGGGGGCTTCCCCCGCCAGCCGAGCCGGTGTGGAGAGGGTCTCCCAGCTGGGACAGGATGGTACTGCCGTGGCCCCGTCCTGGCCCAGATCATCGTTGGACGAGCTGTTGCCATCTTTTTTTTTTTTTTTTTTTGCTGTATGCGGGCCTCTCACTGTTGTGGCCTCTCCCGTTGCGGAGCACAGGCTCCTGACACGCAGGCCCAGCGGCCATGGCTCACGGGCCCAGCCGCTCCGCGGCACATGGGATCCTCCCGGACCGGGGCACGAACCCGTGTCCCCTGCATCGGCAGGCGGACTCTTAACCACTGCGCCACCAGGGAAGCCCGTTACCGTCTCATTGACATCACGTCCCTGATAACCCAGGGAGTGGTTTGTCAGAATTGCACGCGGGCCTGGAGGACAGGCCGAGGCCAGTTTGGAGGGAAAGTTGCTTTTCGGTTGTAGATGCAGATTCTCTTGTAAATCAGTGTAAACATGGCAAGAATGTGCCTCAGCCGCCTCTCACTTCCTGGGGAGAGTCCCCCCCGCGTGTGGCACCCCCAGTTCCCACAGCTCCGCACCGCATCCTTTGCAGCCAGCTGTGCGGGGGTAGCTGGGCCCTTCCCAAAGGCAGGCACCAGGGGCAGGGTTGGCAAGGCCCAGGCCCGCCGTGACGGGTGTGCAGAGAAAGGCGTTAACGTCTCTGACTTGTCGAAGGGCGACGTGGATGCCGGCCACACGGTGGGCGGGCCAGAAACCTTTCAGCCAGCGCTGATGTGCAGCTTGGGCACCCCACGCGCCTGTCGTGCTGGGGTGTCCCTGCGAGTGGGCGTGGGGATCCCCAGGGGCGGGGGGCCAGGCCGAGCTCAGATGTGAGCTCCCACTCATCGGAGGACAGGGCGGCCCCTGCCGGCCAGCCGGGCAGGGGGCAGCCATTGCCGCCTTTGACCCCCGTGGAGACACACTGGCTCCTTCCCTGCTAAACGTGCGCTCACGTGGCGCGTCCCCAAAGCCCATCTCTCCCTCGTGGGGTGGATCTTCTCATCCAGACCATCCCTGGTCCGAGCACACCTGCCGCCTCACCCTGCTAGTGGGCCAGTCAGCAACACAGGGCCAAGCCCCAGGTGGGCAGCTCCCTGGAGGGTGGGGGGCAGGATCGGTGCCTGGAGGACGAGCCCTGAGCTCACTCGCTTGTCACGTCCCTGGAGCAGCTGCCTGACACAGTTCTCATCCGAGAACGGGGCCAGGCGCACAGGACCCTTCGTTTGAAAGACCCTGGCGTGGGCATCAAGCGTCCTGGCCTTGCTGAGTGTGGCAGGGGCAGTGGGTCTGGACGCGGGGCGTGGGGGGACGGGGCGGTGTGTCCCCGCCTGGGAACCGACCCCGGGCAGGAGCCGCAGGACAGAGCCCAGCGGGCAGGGCAGTTGGACCAGAAGGGCGGTCGGTGTGCATGGTTCAGAGCGCGGAGCAGAGAGCACGGGGCGCGGCAGGAAGACGGGGGCGTGAGCGGACCCAGGGTCGGGGCGTCGGGCTCAGGGCCCCGGACAAGTGGAGGGCTCACCCGGGCTGAGAGAGGCCGTGAGAGGCAGGCAAGGCCCAGGGCCGGGGAGGAACCGGGCTCTCCATTAGCCGTACACAGCAGCTTCCCTTCATGCAGGGAAGCTGGTTCCAAGACCTGTAGAAGGGAGTTTTGGTCTTTCAGAAAGGACACGGCTGACGTGCCCGCCTGCTTCTCGTCCTTCCAGTTCGACTTGCTAGAAATGGACCGTCTAGAGAGGCCGCTCGTCAACCTGCCTCTCCTTCTGGACCCGTCCTCCTACGTGCCTGACACGGTCGACCTCACAGACGACGCGCTGGCCAGAAAGTACTGGCTCACCTGCTTTGAGGAGGCCCTGGATGGGGTGAGGGCCTGGGGCGGGGGTGAGGTTGGGATGAGGGCTGGGGGCGAGGCTGGACACCCCCAGGAAGAAGACACCCGTGCGTCCAGGAATTGGGCTGTGGGCCTTTGAGGTCCTGGCTACCTCTGACTGTTTCAGGTTCCCCAGGGGCAGTGAGAGGCGGGATGGAGGAGAACAGGGGTTTCCAGGAACCTTTTATTTGAGGTGTAATTCATAGTTCCCAGGTGGGAACCTGACTGAGTAGTTTGTTGGGACGTGGTGTCAGTGAGGTGCGTTCTCATCGGCTCGCAAGTGGCTTTCACGGCTACCGTGTTTCTTTAAAAAGCAAGCGGTTCGCACAGGGCTCAGGGACAGCAGTGGCTGGCCTCCGGCTCCAGGCTCAGGGGGGTTAAGGCCATGGGAGCCTCCTGGGAACACCCATTCCTCCACGACGCCCCTCAGAGAGGCCCACGGGGTCTGTCTTCAGAGCGAGGGGTCCCACAGACTTGGAGAATGCTCCAGAACCACCAGTCCCCTCAGCAGAGCAGGAGCCGGTGTCCAGTGGGCCCTGGGGCTGGTATCGGAGGACACGGATATGAGGTTTGGGTCAGGGCTGGCGGCAGCCCCGTTCCCACCTGGCAAGGGAAGCCCCCAGTGGCTGCCACCACTGCCTGCCACCCACGGGCTGGGGGCTGCCCTGAGCACTGCTGGCCGCCCCGTCCTCGGTAGGTCGTGAAACGCGCCGTGGCGAGCCAGCCAGGCTCCGTGGATGCAGCCGAGAGGGCCGAGAAGTTCCGCCAGAAGTACTGGAACAAGCTGCAGACCCTGCGGCACCAGCCCTTGTGAGTGGCCCACCCGCTCGCCCTGGCCAGAGCCCCGAGAGCGGCCTCTACGGGGACGCGCACTTGCACCCGAGGGCCGAGTCCCTCGAAGTTTTCCAGGAAGCTCTGTGCCCCTCCACTGGCACACACTCGGGGGCGCTCAGCACCCCGCTGGCCTCCTGGGCTTCTCCTTTTGGCGCCTGGACGCCACGAGGACGCCCCTGGGTGGGGAGAGTGTGATGGGCGGTGCGGTCAGCCGTCCAGCCCACTCAGCCGCCCTCCGCCCGGCTCTGTCTTCAGCGCTTATGGGACCCTGACCGTGCGCAGCCTCCTGGACACGAGGGAGCACTGTTTGAACGAGTTCAACTTCCCGGACCCCTACTCCAAGGTGAGCGCCCCCTTCTCGTGGGTGGGCACATGCTTGCAGGGGGCCGTGGGGAACGGGGCATCAGTCCTGTCCTGTCCAGCAAGCGGGTGTGCTGGCAGCCCTGACCCCCGGCACTGGCGACAGGCTGCATCCTGGAGCCGCCCTGGTGAGGGTCCATCTCCCAGGAGCTCTGGGCCGCAGCCCCTCGGTCGGCAGCACCAGCTGTGGACCGATGCCGGCACCACTGTGACCTCGTCAGCAGCACGTCCTGGGGGTTCTAACCAGCAGCCGGTGAGGGTGGCGGGCATGTGGCACTGAGGCCCCCTCGCCTCTTCCTGGCCTCCTGAACTCAGCCTGGAAACTCAAGAGTTGGTGCCTGAGGATGTCCGTCCTGGCCACGAGCCATCCAGGGCCTGGCTGGTGGCCTGAAGGTGCCTCCCTGGGCTCTTTGACCAGGAAGCCACGTGCCCTGGAGCCGTGGGCGGGGTCCAGAGCCAGCCCACCTCAGCTCCCTGCCACCTCCTCCCTGCCCTCGCACAGGAGCATCTGGGGACAGTGGGTCTGGGTGCTGAGGATCTCACGGTCAGGGCAGCGGGCACCCGTGGGGTGTGGGTCCTCCGTGCTCGGCCACGGCACAGTCACACCTGAGCCTCCGTCCTCAGTGTACACTTCAAACCTGCACCGATACCAGCGTGCCCCCCATGCTTGCACTCAGCCCGCGCTGCTCCGAGTCAGCGCTGCTTTTAACCTGACGCGATCTGGGTTTGTCTAGCCTCCCGCAGTGACGTCACATGGGAGTCTTCTGTCCCCTAGAACAGGCTCGCTGTTGGTGCTCTCCCGGCGCGGTGCTCTCCTCTCCCTGCTCTGCTGGGGGACTGGGGGAGGCCAGACCACGTCTTCATTCGCGTCTCCCCGCAGGTGAAGCAGAAGGACAACGGCGTGGCATTAAAGTGTTTCCAGAGGGTGATCCACTCTCTGGACGCCCTGGGCTGGGAGGAGAGGCAGCTGGCACTGGTGAAAGGGCTCCTGGCCGGCAACGTCTTCGACTGGGGAGCGAAAGCCGTCTCTGAGTAGGTGCCCGCTGTCCTCACAGCCCCCGCAGGCCCATCCCCTCCCCTCCTCCTTCCAGCTCGGCCTTAGAGCCACAGCCCCTGGGCCCGAACTGACGCCTGGGCCACACGTGGCTCTGGCAGTCCCAGCCTCGGCCGGCCCAGCTTGGCCCTCGAGGAGGTGGCAGAGGGGGCACCGAGGGTTCTCGGGGGATGGGGTACTGCTCGGGGCTTGCTGGACACGTGTGGCCTCGGGAACGGATGGGACAGGTGCTGGGACCCAGCCTCCCTGCCCGCACACAAGAGCAGGCGCGTGGAGGGCTGCAGGTGTGGGTGTTGTCAGTGTGAAACTGCGCGTCACAGTGACTGTGTGGGGTGGGCTTAGACGCTGTTGGGTGTTCGGAGTGAATAGGTGCCTCGTGAAGTTCAGCGGTGGGCACGTGTCTCCCCGTCCCCCCAAGGGTCCTGTCCCGGGGCCCGCCGTCTGGTGCCTTCCCCGGGGCTCCCGTGCAGGGGACTTGCTGGGTCACCCAACGTGCGCTTTCGGACCCGGGCACCCGGGACAGCCATCGCCGCCTCCCTGCCCTCAGCACTGGCTGCCCCTTGGGCGGCACGTTGGGGTGAGGCTGGTGGCCGGTGCTCCCCAGGGGCCTGGCCTGTGGCTGCAGGCACGGAGGCTTCCCCGTGCCACCTCCCCCGTCCTCGAGCCGACGCGGCAGCAGTGACGGGTGAGAGCACGCTCGTCCAGCTCGGGAGGGACTTCGTGGCCCACGGGAGCGACGGAGGCCAAGGTCCGGGGCCTTGGTGACTTTGTCTTCTCCTCCCCTGTGCAGCGTCCTTGAATCTGACCCCCAGTTTGGGTTTGAGGAGGCAAAGAGGAAGCTGCAAGGTAGGGGCGCCCAGGGCTCTCCTCCAGTGCCAGGACTCGGGCCGGTGGGGGGAAGCAGCGAGGCGGCCACGCGTGCCCGCTGAGCCGGGGGGAGGCGAGGACCGGCTCCCCGGAGAGGCCGGCGGGCGGGTGACCGCGTCCCTGTGTCCCGCAGAGCGGCCCTGGCTCGTGGACTCCTACAGCAAGTGGCTTCAAAGACTGAAGGTACATGGGGCTGTCCCCGCCTCTGTCCTGTGCCCTAGGGGCCCGGGCAGGGTTCACGGGTGGGGAGGTGGCGCGGGCCCGCGCGGTGCACCGAGGGCCCCCCGGAGTGTCCCCCTCAGCCCCCCGCCCCGAGCTACAAGCATGAGCTGGCATCCCTGCTCCAAGCCTGACTTCGGCAGGACAGCGATGAGATCACTGGCCTCAGGTCAGAGGTCCTTCGGGCTAGCAGTTCTGGAAGAGGCCGGGGCTGCCCCTGTGCCCCCAGTGCCTGCAGGACCCAGCAGCCCTCGCCCGGCCGTGGGGAGTGGAGTGTGGAGGTGTCTGGAACGCTTGGACGCGCCTGTTCCCAACTGAACGTCCTGGTTTTGTCTTACAGGGGCCCCCTCACAAATGTGCCTTAATTTTCGCAGATAACAGTGGAGTAGACGTCATTTTGGGAGTCTTCCCCTTTGTCAGGGAGCTTCTCTCTAGAGGGACGGAGGTGAGTGTGGAGGGCCGCATGGCGGGTCCCTTGCCCAGCTCCTGTGCTCGGTGGGGTTGGCATCGCCCTGGGCCCCTCCGTGTGCAGGTAGGTGCCGGGTAGGCAGTGGCACGGCAGGAGCACAGGGGGAGACCTGGCCGGTCACGTCCTGGGGCTTAGGTCAGCCTGACCGCGGGGCCCTGGGGCCATCTCCATCCTGCCCCAAGAGCCGGCCCAGCCGTGAGAGGTCGCCGGAGGCCGTGCTCCTCCGCCGGCAGCCCCAGGTGGGTGGGTGGGTGGCGGGCGGGCAGGCGGGCGAGCCCAGGCTGGCTCAGTACTGCCAGCGGCCAAGGTCCCTAAAGAGCCCGGGCATCCTGCCGCAGGTCATCTTGGCGTGCAACTCGGGACCCGCCTTGAACGACGTGACCTACAGCGAGTCCCTCATCGTGGCCGAGCGCATCGCGGCCATGGACCCCGTCATCCGGTAAGCTGGGCAGGGGGCTGGGGCCTGGCATGGCGAGGCGGGGGTGCGGCAGGGCAGCTTCCTGGGGCCCCGCCTCACGGGTGACGACCCCTGTGCTCGGCAGCTCGGCGCTCAGAGAAGGGAGGCTGCTGCTCATGCAGACTGGCTCCAGCTCCCCGTGTCTCGACCTCAGGTATGTGGCCCCTCTGCCCCCGGGTCCCCCTGGTCCCCTGCGGAAGTCAGCTGTGCCAGCCGCAGCCCCGGGCAGGGTCCAGGCACCTCTTCCCTCGGGACCCTGGGAGGAGGAAGCAAGGGGGGCGTGTCCCCACCTTGGATAATTATCCTTGGATAATCAGTTCGTCACCATAGTGCTTTCCACCCTGGGGCTTCTAGAACCTGGAGCAGCCCGTGTAAAGGAGGGCACATCTGGGCTCTGGGACCGTTAGCCTCTCAGTCTGTTCCAATGCTGATTCTCCAGTGTTGATTTAATCCCCTTCCAGGTCCACTATTAACCAACAAGGAAGGACAATAAAAAGCTATAGAAAGGACTCAGATTCTTTATAGTTCAAACTACAAAAGTATCATTAAGGCCCAATTTTCAGAACCGGCTTCCTTGTAGCAACGGGAGCACAGCTGCCAGCGGTCCCCAAGACCGTGGGCCCCGGGCCCCGGGCCCCGGGAGGGCAGCTGCCGGGCTGGCTGTCCGGGGATCAGGCTGGACCCAAGGCCCACGTAGTTGGGGGGGGGCCGAGGGTCGGGGGTCTCCGGCGTTCCCGCCAGTCGCCGCCCTTGGCTGGAGGCAGGGTGTGGCATCTGCCCCGGGTGCAGCTCAGTGCAGGGTGCCAGGCCCCCCGCCTGCACCCTCCTCACTGCCCCCTTCCTCCCCGAAGCCGCCTGGACAAGGGGCTGGCCGTGCTCGTGCGGGAGCGCGGCGCCGACCTGGTGGTCATCGAGGGCATGGGCCGCGCCGTCCACACGAACTACCACGCGGCCCTGCGCTGTGAGAGCCTCAAGCTGGCCGTCATCAAGAACTCGTGGCTGGCCGAGCGGCTGGGTGGCCGGCTCTTCAGCGTCATCTTCAAGTACGAGGTCCCGGCCGAGTGAGGTGCCACCGCCGCCGGGCTGCTCTGCCCGTCGCCTCAGGAACGTATCTCGACTGCAACAGGGACCCGCGTTCAAATCAGAATATTTCCATTGTGCTTCTGTGAGAGAGCCGGCTGCGCCCAGGTGTGGGCTCAGCGCTCGTGGCCTCGGGCTTGGTGTTTCTTCAGTGCTGACGTGTTCGTGGTGGGGAGACACGACTTTTGTCCCGTGGAATATATTTAACTGTTGAATAATCTTTTATATATATATACGTATACACATACACATACACATATATAAATACAAAGATGTGCGCACACGCCTCTGACGGGCGCGGAGGCCGGGGCGCGGCGAATCGTTTCCACAGTGAGAACAGAGCGTTTCTGCCTTTGCTGTTTGGTGTGAGGGTGGGCAGCCCCCCCCGCCGGGGGCCCTGCCCACGCCTCCCCCAGGGAGCCCAGCAGTGGGGTCTCTCCCTAGGTGATCTCTAGAACTCTTAGGCCCACCTCGGCCCGTGGGCCATGGCCGCTGCCCTGTCACGTGGCCTCCAGCATCACTCCCCGGCGTGTCTCTCTGGAGAAGGCCTCCCCTTGCGCCCCTGCCCCGCCTGGCCCCGCTACGCGCGGGAAGGACAGACAGGCTGCTGAGAGGAGGCCACGGGCTTCGAGGGCCCTCGAGGACTTTCAGGGACTTGGTGGCTGGTCCAGTCCTCTCCTGCTCGGAGCATCTCAGACCACGTGGGTTCTGTCGCCACGGCCTTGAGCCCATGCCCAGAGCCCTGCCTGACAGCAGGTGGGTGGGGGGTTCACTGGGCCCGGTGATGGAGGTGCTGTGAGATGGCGGGGGCTCCTCCCCCACTGGACCCGTCCCTCGGGGTGCAGACCTGAGCCTCAGACGCCACATCGTGGCAGAAGAACTGGCCACGGAGCTGCGAGGCCGCCTGTGTGTGCCATTGGTCTCAGGAACAAAGAGCTGCGCGGGGGCCCTGCTACCGTGGCCCCGGGCCCTGTGCACTGAGGAAGCCCCACTGCCCAGCACCCAGGTCCCTCACTGCTGGAGCACCCAGCAACGTGAGGACGGGCGGGATGAGGAAGGCCGTCGGGGCTGCCCCTGCAGGGACCTGAGCCCCGCCCTCTTGGCCCAAGACCCCCTTGCACTTGCCCTGCTGGGCCAGGGAAACCGGGGCCCTGCACCCCCTTCCGGGAGCCTGAGCTCAGAGGTCTGGGACCTGCACTGAACCTCAGAGGGTGCTCAACCTGTCCTGCACCACAGCAGCCCCCCTGGGTGACCCATGTGCTGCACCCCACTCCTGGATGGACGGACCTCAAAGCACTTGCTCTGTCGGCAGAGAGGGCCCTGGCCTTCCTGTGAGCAGCCGCCAGGGGGAGCAGGGGGCACGGCCGTCAAGAGGGCACAGGCTAGGCCTGTCCAGTGGGTGGTCCATGTGATCCCCTTTCCGCGAAGGCTCACCCACCTTGACCCCAACACAGCCCCTCGCTACACCCCCGGCCTGCACCTATGCACGGCTCAGCTTCCTGTGGTCGCCTCTATGAGGCCTGGCCTGGCCCCTCTTCTGCCCAGGCCATCCTCTGTCCTCCCATCCCTGGTGTCGGAGCAGCATTGTCCTAGCTGGTCTGGGGCTCCCTGTGCAGGGCATGCCCTGCCCAGACACCCAGGAGGACTCCAGAGGTCCAATCAGAGCCCAGCTCGGCCTGTGTCATGATGCCTCGCTGAGCCTCCCTCCTGTCAGGCCCTGGCGCTCCCCTGAGGGTCGCTGGACAGGCGGGAGGAGCCTGCGGTGGCCCCGCAGTGAGTAGGGCACCAGGGCTCTGAGCACCTGCCCTGCCCTCAGGTACCCCTCTTGCGATGCCCTGTCCCTTTCTCAGCTGGGACAGAAAGGGTCTGGGCCTCCCAGCCCCTGAGGGCAGCCCCTGGGAGGTAACGGAGCAAGAGGCAGCGCCCACCCGGGGCTGGAGAAGGGCTGACCGCCCCCCCCCCCATATCTTGTGAGCCCTGGCAGATTGCCCCAGGCTGTGTCCCTCCCTGCCCCCCGCCTCCCCTTCACTTCCCCCAAGATTCTAGTAGCCCAGATGCAGTGCCTTGGGGACCCCTCCCTTCCGGGGTTGGGCCACAGCTCCCCCAGGCTGAGCTCCCCCAACCAGAGGAAGGAGGAGGGCCTTCCCGGTTCCTGACTGGTCCTGGGAGGAAAGTGGCACTGGCACAACTGCCCATTCCCCAGGCCTTTGCTGAGTTTGGGCAAGCGGCTGGCATGAGTCCCTGGGGCCTACGAGGGACACAGCAAGAGCCAGAGCGCCTGGCGCCCACCAACACCCAGCCTTTCAGACGCCTTGCCCGGCGCCCACCGTCCCCAGAGCCTCCGACCCTGGACGGTAGGGCTGATCCTGCTGCGGGGCCCGAGGCCTCCCTGAGCTGAGCCGTGGGTGGGCTGCCCCCAGCCCCTGCCTGTTGTACCAAGAGAGTCCACCCTTGGGGTGGCCTCTGACACCTCAGCTGGCTTCTGTGCAGGCCAGGTGCTCGGGTGGGGAGGGCAATCAGCCCCCCAGCTTCTCGAGGGAGGGGGCGGCCCTGGCGGTCCTCTGTGCGCAGAGACTCCGGGAGCAGCAGCCCCACAGCTGGGGACCCTCTGGCCTGGGTCCCTGCCAGGGCCAATGTCTGCCCCCGATAAGTGGGGTGGGAGAGGGGGAGGGAAAGAACAGGGGTGTGTTCGGGGCTTGTGGCCCTGACCCTGGGCGCGGTCCAGCCAAGCCATCCGCGGGCAGAGGGTGGGGGGCATCTTCTGGGTTCCGGCCCCGCGACACCGGGTACGCGGCCACAGAGGGAGCCCACTCGGAGCAAGCGCAAGCGTGTTTATTGGAGCTGTGTTCGGGAGTTTACAAGAGTCTACAACGTCCCATACAGAGCAGAGTGTGTGCAGAACAAGCCAGCAGTCGGGGCGGGGAGGCCACGCTCCAGGTCACTGGGCGCCTCGCATGGCGGGGCCCGGCAGACGCGCGCCCACACACGCCCCGCAGCTGAGACCAAGGGAAAGTGGAAAAGGACACGGTACCATTTTCTCATTGTAGAAGCTTTGCCTCTAAAAATTTAAGTATCTGTCAGTGTACGTGGATCTTAAAAGGTCGTGAAAACTCTGCCCTGCCCCAGGGCGGGCTCCTTCCTCCCAGGAGGAGGGGCAGGGCCGAGGGGCACAGCCACACCGGACGGGCGGCAGCCTCGGGGCGGCAGCTCCGCATCCTGAGCAAACGTGGGCCCCGCCCAGCCCTGGGCTGCAGCAGGAGGCCAGTGGCGGCAGCACCTGACAGCTGGTTGGTGGCACCCTTGGCGGGGCCGGCACAGCCCCACAGCCCTCTTGGCCCACGCAGCAGGTGCCCTCAGGGGTGCCCCGCTTCTCCTCTGGGGAGCCCCTTGGGCCCTGCAGCCGCTGCTGCCGCTCCTGGGCCCGGCTGGCGATGGCGCGCACACGGCTCTGGCTGCGGGAGGAGGAACGCCGCAGGAAGCCCGGGGCCCCCGCTGCCCCCTCCCCAGCCGGGCCCCCGCTGCCCCCTCCCCAGCCGGGACCCCCGCTGACCCCTCCCCAGCCTGGCCCCCGCTGCCCCCTCCCCAGCCGGGGCCCCGCTGGTGGGCAACGTGATGCCCCCAGCCTGCTGGAACCCCGTGAGCCTACGCAGCTGCTCCGTCAGGGCGTCCAGCCGCGCCCCCCCGCCCTGCCAGCCTCTCCCCAGCCAGGCCCAGGCCGCGGCCCGGGATCTCCACGCGGGGGGGCAACGTCGTCCACGGTCAGGTCCCCGAGGCTCTTGGACTTGGCAGCCACAGTGCAGTCCGGGAGGCCCACCAGGAGGTGGTGGGCCCAGGGTGGCCATGGGGCCAGGGGGTGGGGCTGCAGCTCGTCAGGCCCCACAGGCAGCTGGCCAGCAGCCTGCAGGTTGGGGTTGGATTTGCTCTTGGTCACAGCGGGCAGGTCCAGGCAGGCGGCCGAGGCCAAGCAGGGCCACAGGGGCAGGCGTCCTGCCGGGGCCCCTGGGAGGCTCTCAAGTCCCAAGCCCAGGCCCTGCAGGGAGAGGTCGATGACCGTGTCACCAGACGACAGGCTGGAGGACGAGGACACGCTGCCACAGTGGCTGCTTGGCTCCAGCGGCTGCCATAGCTGGTCACCGCCAGTGGCATCCAAGGACACGACAGGGCGGGGCCTGGCCAGGGGCCACCGTCCACCCAGGGACTCCGAGGGCACCTGCCCCTCGCTCTTGGCCCTTCTGAGCACGTGGCCCAGAGCCCGGGGGTGGCCCCTGCCGTCCGTCTGGCTACCGGGGGCCCCCTTGCAGGCCCCAGCAGGGCCCCCGCCGTGGCACGCCGACTGCCTGCTTTCGGGGGCTGGCTCAGCGTTCCCTTGGCTCCCGGTCCCGAGCTGGAGGGGCCTGGAAGCTCCCAGAGCCGCCCTTGGGGGGCTCGCCGAGCTGGTGCCGGGCCCTGCAGAGCACTGGGGCCCTCCAGGGGCGTGGCTGGGGGAGACGGCCCCCAGCGGTGGGGGGCCAGAACCCCAGGCTGGCTCCTCGGCAATGGTTTCCAGGCTGCACAGGGAGGAGAAGGGGTGGGCGTCTGCGGGGAGAGGGAGAGGCAGATGTCAGGGGCGCCCGCGGGGCTCCAGGCCCCTCCACGTGCTCACAGCTGCCCCCACCCTGCCCCCCCGCTCCGCTACTGCTGGGGGAAGAGATGGGCCTGGGCGCACAGGCAGGGCCCTCCTCGGGCCGGCGCAGCTCGGCCCACGGCGCCCGGGCCCTGTTACCTGGCACTCAGCCGCTCTCAATCCCTGACTAGGAAGGCAGCGTGGGGACAGAAAGGAGAAGAGGGTGGTCAGTGCCGGGGTGGGGCTGGCCGTGGACAGACGGACGCAAGGCTGGGCGGGTACAGAGGGGGAGCGGGAGGGTGGCCCAGCTTCCAGCACGCCCTCCCCGGGCTCGGATTGCTCCCTGTGACCAGGGGCCACAGGCAGTGCTGTCACGACCAGCCCTGGGGCCGGGGTGGGGGCTCCAGAGCAGAGCCGCTCATACATGCGTCCCCAGGGCCACGGTCAAGCTGCTCCCCTCACACTTTGCAAACAGAGGCCTCTACGTCGAGACCCTGAGCCCCAGCCAGGAACCCAGGCCAGACTCCCCAGAGGAGTGCGGTGCCGGCCAGGGGCCAGGGGGAGGCAGGAGGAGAGCCTGGAAGCGGCCCCCGGGCCCTGGCAGTCAGGCTGGGCTCCAGAGGCCACCCTCTGGGCTGCAGGCCTCGGCAAGTGGACCCGGCTCAGACTCCCCAATCCCCAGCCCGGGGTGAGGACGGCTGCGGCCAGAGCTGCAATCACTTTCCCAGCCCCTGGGGAGCATTGGGGGCCTACGGGGCAAATCATGGTCAGACGGGGGGTATGGGGGCTGAGGGGCCCACGGGACCAGCCAATGGAACAAGGAAACGAAGGCCAGTGAACACACGGAGGCCACAGTTCTGGACACGGAAGCACAGCGGGGACGCCAGCCAGGCCATGCGGGGGCAGCGTGGGAGCCACCACGGGGACACTGCAGAGGAGCGTCTGGGCTTACCGGTGGAGAGCACGGGGGACTTACTCCTAATCTCCTCCAGCTTTTGAATGAACAGGGCGTTCATCTCCCTCTGCAGGGCCCCCGCCTGCCTGCGGGCGCCCTCGGGCCAGCAGGGGGTCCCCTCGGGGCTGCCTGGGCTGCTGGAGTCCGAGGACACGAAGCCGCGGCCGCCCGGCGCCGGCTGCCGAGACCCAGGGCCCTTGGGGGCCCCTCTGCTTCTCCCAGAGGCAGTGTGGGGCGCCCCCAGCGAGCCCGCCCAGGCGCGGGGCTGCTGGCTGATGGCCGCGTGCCTGCTCTCGGGCCCCAGGCTGGGCAGCTGCCCCCTCCGCAGGCCCTCGGCGTCCTCACCGGTGCAGGAGCCCACCACGCACTTCATGCAGGTGGTGGCCATCCTGGCAGGCCCAGGGCCCTCGGGGGCCCGCGGGGGCCGCACCTGCACCGGGCTCCTCTCCACCGGTGCCTTACCTCGAGGGCTGCGGCTGCCCAGCTCCTCCAGGGCCGGGGCCTCGGGAGTGGGGCCGGGGCTGGAAGGTGCCGCGTCGCTGGCCTCCCCCTCAGAGCCCAGGTCCTGCGGGCCCAGGACCAGCTCTGGGAAGGCCTTGCGGCCTGGCTTCTGACTCTTGGTTGGGGCGCTGGCCGTGCGCCGCAGGAGCCGCTGGCTAACAGAGGGCCGGGGCGGGGGCCGCCCAGCAGCATGACTGTCCAGGGAGCCGGGCTTTGGGCCTCGGAGGAACAGGCCTTTTAGGCCCAGAGCCTGCTTGACCTGCAAAAGAAGGAGATACATAGCCGACAGCTGGGCACCAGGGGCCGGAGACTGCCCAGCCCTGTCCAGCTGTGCTCCGGAGGCCGTGGCCCGGGAAAGCCTGCTGCGGCCCGACGGGCCTGCTCGCTTGGGGCACCACTCAGGGCTGTGTGTAAGGAGGACGGTCTCCAGGGAGGCTCTACCAGGGGCGGCGGAGGCTGTGGCCTCAGCACAGCGTGGACGGCGCCTGCCTGCACCAGGGTGGAGGGAGTGGGTGCTGGCGGAGGGTCTGTGGCTCTCAGGGCAGGTGGCCAGGGAGTGCTGGAGCGGGGAGGCCCCCCCAGGGTCTCCCAAGCAGAGACCTGGCCCCCAGCCCTGTGCCCACCGCACTCTTCACCCCTCCAGCCCCTGGGGCCCCAGCTCTGGCAGGGCAGGCTGGCACGGGGCCCCCAGGGTGGCCCTGGTGTGGAGAGCAAGATGGGGTGTGAACCAGACGGAGCACCGGTCCCGCCCGCCCCCAGGCACCGCGGCCAAGGAAGCAAGCACAGCCAGGTGCAGCCCCGCGCTCGGCTCACCCATGCTCCTGCCCGGCCCTCTCCCCTGGAGGTGCTGCCTCTTCCGGGAAGCCTTTCCAGATGCCTGCCAGGCAGTCCTTCCCAGACGGCCGGGCCCGGGGGGCCCCTACAAGGCCTCTCCCCGCAGCCTCCCGGCCTGAGGACGGCAGCCAGGGTCCCCAGGACCGGCTGGCACGTGCCTGGGTCAACACCGGAGAGGCCGGCAGGGTCCTCACATGCAGAGACCCTGGAGACAGCCACGGTCCCCGCGACACGGGGGCACATCTGGGCAGAGGCATTAGCGGCCAGCACTTGAATCAGCTGTCTGATTCAAGATCCCAAATCCAGAGCAATTTGGTCAAAGTTGGCTAGAAGGTCATTTAGAAGAAGGTCCAGAATTCAAGCTCGGAGCTCCTGGTCCCTGGGGTCTACCCCACCCCCACCCACCCGCCCTCCCCCTCCAGCACTGGGTGTGGAAGCACAGACAGATCAGAGGGGCACACAGGCAGGCGGAGGGCAGAGGGAGGTGGGGGAGAGGGAGAGGGCACGGGTACTGGGAGGGCCGGCAGCTAGAGGACTGGACACAGGGAGGCACAGGGCAGGGCGGGGGGTGGGGGAGGTGCAGGAGTCGGAAAGGCCAAGGGTAGGAGGAGATGGGCCAGACCTCGGGCCAGACACACAGGAGGCCTGGCTGAGGTCCTGGACCTGCCTCATAAATGCTGCTCTGTGCCTGAGGATGGCCCAGGGGACCCGGAACCACGTCCCGACCCATGTCACGTGAGCTGACAGTCTCCAAAATGCTACCAGGAATTCACGGATGCTAACGGGGTGGCCTGAGCATGCAGGTGGGGGGCGGGCAGGCCACGCCGCCCCCGTGCTGGGGTACCTTCGAGCTCCTAACAGGGCCGTGCTTCTAAAAGTAGACTTTGGACATACAGAAGCCCACTGCAAGACCAAAGAGACAGAGTGAGGCCGTGAGACACGAACAGCAGGCGTGGAGCACGGAGACGGAGACACAGGACCGACAGGGTGACCACGGACGCACAACGGAGCTGGGAGGCCTGCGGGGCCTCCGTCGGCAGCACGCAGGGCCGAGGAACACGGTAGGAGAGAGACGGTTAGTGCCGGAAGCCACATGGACCCCCGTGTGTGCCTGACAGACCACCGCGTGCAGCCTTGCTAGGCCCCAAACTTAGAACCAGGGACCCCTGGGCTCTGCAGACTGGGGAAGTCGGAGTGAGACCCCGTCCTGGGGCAAATGTACTGGGAGCAGGTGAGGGACGGGGCAAAGCCAGGCAGATGCCTTCGAGGAGGGACAGAGAACCAGGGGACCCCGAGCAGTAGAAGGGGAGGCTCAGGAGAGACCGGAGGGGCCGGGGCTGCCCAGGAAGGGCCATGGCTTCCATATGCTCGTGGCCACACTGGCCCCGGGACATAGAGGCGCGCCCGGGGGCCCCGCCACTCATTTCGTGGATGGAGACACAGGCCCGTCAAGGTAAGCACTACGCCTCATGGCCCCAGGGACACGGATGGGGTGGGGCTGGGGCTGGGGCACCCCTTTCCAACAGCAAGTGACCTTGCAGGTGGCACTCACCTTACCACTGATGTCACTGACGGCCACGTGGACAAAGATGGAGGCCTCTTCCATCCCCTCCAGGTACACGTGCCGATAGCCTGAAACAGCCGGGGTCATGCTCACCACGGCTCCTACCCACCCACGTCCCCCACACTCTACTTAAAGGTCCCAAAGCCCTGAATACAACCTGTGAGCCCGGTCCTGGGGCCGCTACCTCCTCCAGAAAGCCTGCCAGGATTGCTCTCGCCTGCAGAGCAACCATCTTCTGGGGGCTAAGGGGCTCCGCAGCTGGTGCTCCCCTCCCCCACCCTGACCACAAAGTGCTGTAGCCTTGAATCCTCCTCAGCTCCCTCGGTATCCCCAGGCCCGCCCGTGGCAGAAGACAACTCAGGAGGAAGCTGAGCCCCACCCTGTCCTGGCGTCCTCTGCTGGCCTGTGGGGGACGTGCTACGGGGGGCACTGGCCCAGGGCTCTGCCCTCCCCCACCCCCACTGGCCCCCTGCCCACCTGGCATCATGCTGCTGAAGGCCAGCGTCCTTTGGCCTATGAAGTCACGCCCAATGGGGTCATGGTCCCAGACGAGGAAGCGCACCAGCGCTATCTCAGGCATGTGCACCGTGAACACCAGGGTCTCCTCCCACATGGGGTTGAATCCTGGAGGCCACCAGGAGGAGGTGTCTGTCACCTTTGCCCCACCCCCACCTCTCAGACAGGCCAGTCCCATCCACACCACAGCTCCAGCCTGGAGGCCACAGGGGCCCACGCCCTCTCCCAGCACCTCCTCCTAGGCTGGCCACCGGCTGAAAGAAGCAACACCGGAAGGCCAGGCGGCTGTCACTGGGCGTCCAGCCAAGGGGGCATCCTGGACAGTTATGTGGGTCACAGGCGGTGGCCCTCACCCTTCCCTGGTGTCAGCAGCACAGGAGCTGTGACGGGGCCTCCGGGCGCCCCCGGCCCTCCCGCGTCCTCACCATTGTCGTCCACCACGCGCGTCTGCTCCTTGCTGCAGTCCACGGGGAGCCCAATGACCTCCACCTCCACGAAGGGGTCGATGATCTGGCACACAGTGCAGGGTGGCACCGGGGCCTGGGCCAACGCCCCGGCCCTCCCTGGCCCCCCAGGCCCTCCCTCCTACCTCCCCTCGGTCCCCCAGCATGGAGTCCCGCGGCTTGGGGAGCTGCTGTCCACTGATGATCCGAAGCACCAGCTGCTTCTTGAGCTGACCGGGCAAAGGGTCCTCGGAGTTGGGGTTGAAGACGCCTGAGGGGGGCCAGGGTAGGCTGAGCAGGCAGGGCAAACCCACCACCGGCTCCCGGGGCAGCCCCAGTGCGTCCACTCCCACCTCCACCCCATCCACTGGATGGGAGCCCCGGGTGCGGGAGGGGGAGGGGAGGCAGCCTTCCAGGGCAGGGGTGGGGGTCGGGGGCCATAGGCCGGTCGCCTCTGCGGCCTCCCCATGATGTGGGCCCAGCTCGCTCCTCCCACAGGTGGACCACGGGGGCTCAGTGCGAGGCCACACCACCTCTGGGTGGGGGGGGCTGGGTGCCCGGGGACAGGGTCCAGGGTGGGGAGCCCTGGGGCTGCGCACGTCGATAACTCGAAGAGGCCACTGCAGATAAACGCTGCACAGCACAAGCCGAGAGGCACGTGGGAGGACGGGTCAGGGTTACGATGGGAAGAAACCCACAAGTCGTTTTCAGCACATCGGGGAGAAAACTGAGGTGACCGAGAAGGGAGGAAGTGCCAGGCAGACCTCACCCAAGGGCACCTCGCCCGGGGACCCTCGCGCTGGGGCAGCGTGGGGAGGGGCCGCAGATGCCCGGCAGGGTGGCGACGCTTCCCTGTGCCCCAGCCTGACCCGCCAGGTGGCCTCGCCGTGGCCGCCCCCTGCCACCTCCGTGCAGCAGCCCCCACCCCCGTGTCCCCGTCCTGGGGCCACAGCCTCACCCTGGCACATGCACTGGGGCTTGAGCACGTAGCCACAGCTGCCGTTGGCGCTGAACTTGGCCCGGTTCAGCTGGAGCATCCGCCCCTCCGACTGGTAGTTCAGGGCAACTGTGGGGAAGGATGTGAGGTGGCTGGCTCAGTGCCCAGCCCGTGTGTCCCACCCGCCGCTTCCTGTGAGCCCGCGTCCACTACGTGAGCAGGGGCCCTGGGGCTCACGTCGGGCACGACCAGGGCCGTGCGTCCCGGCAGGCAGGACTTCCCACAGAGCCGGCACAGCGGCCCCGCGCACCTGAGGAGCGTGGACGCGCACCTGTGTCTTTCCTGCCTTGACCTGGGGTCCTAAGGCCCCCGCCCCAGCGGCCCCCACCCCGGCGCCATCCTGGTGAAGTTGGCTGGATGCCGCGAAGGTTCTCCAGAGCCAAGGGCAAGCAGAGAGGCCGCGGAGAACCCAGCTGCACCCCTTCGCCAGCCCGGCCACCCCAGCCCCCGCGCCCACCCATCTGGCAGCCCGGCCGCCCCAAGCCCCGCGCCCACCCATCTGGCAGCCGGTGTTCCAGAAGGGCTGTGGGTTGTAGTTGCTGGAATCCACGCGGTAGGAGGAGGGGTAGATGCGAGAGAGCTGGTGCTGGTTGAAGCGCAGGTACTGAGCCGGCTTCTGCTGCAGGATCTGCTGGGCCTTGGTCTCGCTGAAGGATGACACCTGCCAGCTGGACGCCACTGCCGGGTGAGACGGGCGGCGTCAGGGCACCAGGTCAGCCACCCCCCCAGGGCCCCGATTCCCCCGCCCCTCAGGGGCCCCTCACCCTCCATCTCCACGTCGTGGATGCCCACAGACTTGGTGTATTTGACCAGGTCTGAGAGGGCCCGGGACAGCTTCACGGTCTTCTTCTGCCGGGTGGCCCTGCGGGAGGGGTGGGGTCAGGACCTGGGTCGCACGCCTCCCTTGTCAGGCTCCGGGGAGCGTCCCTCAGGCATCCACTACGCCCCCGTGTTCCAGGCGTCGGGACACGCGGCGGACGTGCTGAGAGGTGACACTGGGGGAGGGGGCAGGTGCCCAACCGCGACAGCTGCTACAGAAACGAGCACGGGGACCGCGCTGGCCAGTCTGGCCCTGCACCCCGGGGTCCCTGCCCTGGGCCCCCACGGCCGCTCCCCACCGTGCGGGTCCCTGAGCCTGCGCATGTGACGCCCACCGTCGCCAGGACAAGGGTCCCAGCGCGTGCCGCCACGCTGCCTCTTCGGGGGCCCGGCATGGAGGCAGGCACTGACCCTCGGCTCTGGCCGCCCTGGGCATCCGGGCCCTCGTCCCCCTCCTCCACGCTGGCCGCCTTCTTCAGCTTGCCGCTCTTTTTCTGTGCAGAACCAGGGCAGAGTCAGGACGGCTGGAGCGCCAGGCCCAGTCGGGCCGTCTGCAGAGGCCAGGACGCTGCGAGGGAAGGGCCTGCAGCCCTGGGGTCCCGGCGCCCACCCTGCAGCCGGGCCTGCCCCCTCTGCAGTGCCCTGCTTGGCCCGGGCCCTGGGTGACCTGCACTCCGGGCGTCGACCAGCGTGGACCGGGGGAGGGCCATCGAGGCACCTGCTCCATCCAGCCCCGCCCAGGGCGTCAGGAATCCCAGAGGCCCTTGGTCCTGGAGGAGACCCCCCAGCTCTGGCTGGCGCACGTGGGGCGCCCGGCAGACCTTGCACTTCAAGAAGCTGCCCGCGAGGAGGCGGCCGTTCTGTCTGCTGGTTCCGGCCTCCTCGGCCTGGGAGGAGAGACAGGCAGCGGGGCTGGGGCCCGGGTTGGGATGGGCAGCTCCCCCCAGATGCCCCGGGCTGCCACCTTCTTGGAAGGGAGGGATCTGGGAGGGGCGTGGAGGAAGTGTGCCGGGAGCAGAGGCCTGAGAACAGCGCTCGCGCGCACGCCCGCACGCCCGCATCAGCTCCCCATCAGCTCCCCACGATGTGCCGTTCGACACTCCTCCAGTGCCTAGTCTTGATTTCTTCCCATGGATGGTGACGGCCTAATAAATGCCGCTTGTGTGTCCGGAACATTCCTCGGCGTGTCCGCTTAGGTAATCCTCATACGGGGGTCCCGCAGCTCAGGAGTCCCCGCCTGCTTCTTGCAGCGGCAAAGCTATTACCTACTTAGACAATCCCCTGGGCTGTGGCCATTTACTGTTACCATTTGCACTCGGGGCTACGGTGAGCCTCCTGAGGCTGCAGGACCAGCTGCTTTGCTGCTGTTTACAGAACATGCGCGTTGGCGGCTCCCCTCCTGCCCCCACCCGAGGGGCCCCCGGGCCTGTCCCTCCCCGCTCTGGGGCCGAGGCACAAAGCTCTCATCCATCCTGAAGCTCAGTCACACCTCTGGAGTGGCTGGGAGTCTGTGCCAGCGTCCCCGAGGTCCCTCGTCACAGCCGTCACCAGCCGCCCCCCAGCCCCTTCCACAAATGCCCCGCCCCCGCCCCCGAACTCTCCCAACTTTGCTCAGGACGTGCCCACTAGGGCGGGAGCCGGCTTCGCAGCCGAGGTTCCCTGTCAAGGAGGGGCTTCAGCCAGGAGCCCACACATCTGCACGTATCTGCACACGCGCCCTGCGTGCACCCACGCGAGCTTGTGCGCACACGCCTCCCTCGGCCATGCCCCTGCCTGGCTCGCTGGCCTCACCCAGGAAATGAGCAGAACCCCTCAGGTCTGGGCTCCGGCCGCCGAGCAGGGAGCCTGGAGCTCAAGCGGGAGATGCGAGGCCCCCCCAGGCCCGGCCAAGGAGGGCAGAGGGGTAGGGACAGCCACGGGGCCACCCCCCACCCCCTCCTCCGCCCCCTGGGGAGTGCTGTCTCCCACCCGCTGGCTGGCTGCCCAGAGGGGCGCTGGTCCAGAGCCCAAGGCGCAGCAACGGAGGCGCTCAGAAAACCCGCGAGCTGGCAGAGGTCGGGAAGCCGCGTTCACGGTGTGTCAGGAGCCGGCGGGGTTGACACACCCCTTGGCTCTTTGCACCGCGTGGTCACCCAGCACACAAGCACCCCTGAACCTGGCCACAAGCGCGGAGAGGCGCCTGCTGGCCCAGATCCTGGAGAAGTGCTGCGGCCACAACCAGGATCTGCTGTCACCCACCCCCACCGCGCGCACCCCAAGCTCAGCAGGGGAGGCAGCACCCGCGTGCCGTCCTCGGGGGGTGTGGGAAGCCCCTCCCACCAGGACACAGCGCCTGACAGGCCTCGTGCTCGCAAAATGGGGTCTGCGGGGCCCACCGGCACCCTCCTGGCCCCAAGGCCAGCTGCCCCGCCCATCACAGCCCGCGCAGGGCGCCGGCTTTCGGGCCACTCAGCTGATGGGGCCACATCTCCAGCGTTTGCCGGCCCCTCCAGACGGCCCCACAACTGCTCAGCCGCATTGGCCCGGCCCCCATACGCTTCACATCCGCCTTGACGGCCCCCACACTGTTCTCCCACAGAGGAACCTCCCAGAGCTCGGCAGCCCTTCCCTGTGCGGCTGGAGGGCCTCTGGGCAGGGGGCTGCACAGCTGCCCAGGACTCACTCGGCTCTGAGAGCCTGGAGCCCCTCCCTGTCACCACCAGACCCCCCAGGCCACGCCCAGGTCCTCTTCGGCAAGGAGCTGCAGGTGCCCCGGGGGCTGCCAGCCCGCTCCTGCCCACAGGCAGGGAGGGTGTGGGCTAGAGGAGCTGTCCGCAGGCCTCCAGGGGACAGGCTGTCAGCCACACAAACAGGGCAGCCCCTCCCTGGCCATCTGCCTGTGACAGGGTGACAGCTGGGGGTCCCTCATGGTGAGAACTGGAACAGCCAAGTGTGAGCTCCTGGAGGACCCGGAGTGGAGATGTACACCAGAGGCAGTGTGTGTGTATGCGTGCAGGTGTGTGTGCAGGTGTGTGTGTGTATGTGGCCAGGTTTGGGGGGGGCCGGTGTGTGTGCGTGCAGGTGTGTGTGTGGCCAGGTTTGGGGGGGGGCAGGTGTGTGTGCGTGCAGGTGTGTGCGTGCAGGTGTGTGTGTGTGGCCAGGTTTGGGGGGGCAGGTGTGTGTGTGTGCAGGTGTCTGTGCACAGCTATGCAGAAACCTCACGCTCCGGCCCCTCTCCCAGCTGCAGGCCGACCCCGCCTGCCTCGGGGCTCCCACCTTTTTGGCCTCTGCCGTGTGCCCGAGTTTGCCAGGCGGGGGCAGCGTGGACGCGGTGAAGTCACTGGGGTCTTCGCAGTCCCGAATCTTCGCCTCCTTCATTAGGGAATCCAGTTTCCTCTTGGCAATGTTTTCCACACGCTTCAGATTGGTGGAGGCCTGCAAGAGGCGGACGGCCAGCCCCTTGGCCTCGGTCCCCAGCTTGCGGGCAGCAGCGGGGACAGCGTCCGGTCTCGGGCAGGGCCAGCACCACTTCACGCTCAGCCCACGTGAGCTCCAGCTCACGCCTGGAGCTGGCCCCAGGCTTGCTCCCACATCACGTTGCTGTGCGCCCCGGCATGTGATTTGTCCCGGGGCCTCAGACAGTGCCGAGCAGGCCCTGAGGCCAGGCCCATCTGATTCTAACACCTGTCTCCTTCAGGTGCACGATGCTGCCGCCGGACCAAGTGGACCGCTCACCGGGCACCCGGCGGCCACTCTGGGCTCTGAGAGCCGCTCAGCGGCTCAGGATCTGGGAACCCACCACCAGCCACCGTGTGCCTCAAGGAGATGGATGGGGTGGGGACAGACCCCAGCGTGGCCCTGACCAACTTGGACCCTCCAGGCAGGGCCTGGGCCTTGGGCATCTGGGCACCCCCATGCCCAGCCAGGCTGGAGTGGGTGCAAGGTGGCCACCACAGACCGAGGGCTTACTATCACCCCTGGCCAGGCAGGGAAACGTGCAAACCCACCCAGAGCGGGAGGAATCCACTGCCTCAGGGCTTTCTAAAACAATTAGCCAGCCGCACAATTCTTTTCCCATCTGATGGTCCCTCAGGGAGAAATAATACCTTGGCAGTACCCAGAAGGGGGAAGAAGCTAATTAGAGAGTCCCCACCCCCACCCCCGCCTGCCCCTCGGCTGCTCAAAGCCCTTGTGAGCTCCTCAGCCTCCCAGCTTTGCCCCTGGTCCCAGCGACTCTCTGAGAAGAGGTGACAGCCGCTAGCTGGGAACTCGGGGTTCGTGCCCTGTGTGGGGGGTGCCCAGCAGCCTGGCAGCTTTGCAAATCACCCTCAGGATCTGCCCCCTGCCCCTCTGTCCCTGCCACCTCCCTTCTACACCAAGGCTTGAGCTGGCTGTTCAGGTCTGCAGCTCCCCCGGCCCCCGAAGCCCCCCGCGCCCACTCACATCCCCGTTGAGGAGCTTGCAGTCCTCGTCGATCTCGTCTGCGCTATCCTCATCAGACACCTCGCCCTCCTCCGCATCCTCGCTGATGTTGGCTGGGAGCTTCTTGCCCTGGGGGAGGAGGTGGACCTTGGCAGGGGCCCTGTGGGAAGTGCTGGGGGGCCGGCACCCACAGGAGCAGCAGCAAAGCGTAGGAGCCTTTCCCAAGCTTGCCTGTGGCTCTCAGGCCGGGGGCAGGGCCAGCCCACCCATCCTTGCGGCAGCGGCGTGGGAGGGACATGCCCGGGTGTGATGCCAAAGGCCCCAAGTTGATTGACAGCTACGGGGAGAAGGAGGCCAGGTCAGGGGCAGGGCTTGCCCTGTGGCCCCTCAAATCTATCACAGATGGTGCGGAACCCCAGCCTGTCCGGAGCAGGGCCTTGCCCTTGACCTGACTGCAGGTTAGAGGTCGGAGGTCAGAGGCTCAGCAGGACGCTGGCCCCAGGCGGGGTAGGCAGGGGCTCACCTTCACCAGGATCTTGCCCTTGAGCATCTGTGGAGAGGGTAGCATGGTGGCATCCTCGCTGCTTACTGATGACAAGTCCAGCTTGTCCCCAAGGATGTCGGTCAGATACTGGGCCATCTTCTTCTGCTGGACGACACTGCAGTGGTTCTCAATGGACAGGATCACTGGATACCTGTGGCCCCAAGAGGGAAGGAGCAGAATGAGGCCAGGGGAAGGCTAGGTCTCACCTATGTAGGACTGCAGGTCACCTGCACCACTGCATGAGGAGGAATCTTCACAGGAGCCCAGGATAGACGGGGCTGCCAGCCACTCTGGGAAGGGGCCCACCAATGGCTTTCAAAAGCAAGAGAGTGTGGGGGAAAGGAGCTGGGAGACCTTAGGGATGGGTAAAGAAGGCATGTACTTCTTCTCCCAATAAGAAAATAACAAAGGCGATTAGAAACTCCAGGAAAAACAAAAGGAAACGTTCAAGCAAGTCATGGTTTGAAAATGACGTGGGGGACCTCCCTGGTGGTCCAGGGTTAGGGCTCTGCACTTGCACTGCAGGGAGCCCAGGGTTAGGGTTAGTCCCCCTCTGGTGGGGGAACTAATATCCCACAAGCCACACAGCACGGCCAAAAAAATAATGGCGTGGACTACACCGAGGTGCAATGGATAGACTGTGAGAGAGATAACCCCATTCACCGAGATACTGCAGACGCTGTCCTGTGCGTGGCCCTGGGGCCCAATAAGGAGGGAGACATAGCCTGGCACACGCCAGTGGGGGGAACGCCATTATTACCTACGTGGTGCAGAGTGGGAAGCGCAGCGTGCGGGCTTTCATGATAAGTTCTTCAGTTGTTTATTTCTTTAGTCATGTGCACATTTACTTGGATTTTTGCCAAGAGGCAACATAATCCTTTTAGAAAATGTAAATGACCCAGACCTAGAAGTCAGAAACTAGAGGAAGAGGTGGGCGAGTCCTGCAATGTGAGAGGCACGGCCTGGGGCAAAGGTCCACCCCTCCCCATTTCCCAGTCAGGGCACCGAGGCCTGGGGGAGGACCTTGTGCCCACAGAGATTATGCTGGCATGGGAGGTGCAAGCCCCGTCCTGAGACCCCAGCAGGAGACCTGTGTGTCCCAGCCCCCCTGCTCTGAGACGCCCCCTCACCTGCAATTCCAGAGGCCAGAAGGCCCTGCAGAGATCCCTCCCTCCCACCCCTTCCAAGACAGAGCCTGTGCCAGGTCTTCCAGAGGGGCATCTCTGTTTCTACTTCTTAAATCAGTCTCGTTTCCCCTCCCCCCTCCTTCACTCTCACCGGCGAGCCTCACTGAGCTGAGACTCGAGGGGAGTAGTGTGGGGAGGCCGTCTTCTATTCCCAGAAACTAAACTGGATTTTGTTCAACAGTGTCTCTAGCCGTTCTGAGTGACGCAAGTTGAGTCTGGACACAGAGTAACTTCTTAAGAGCAATTAGTGCGGAGCCACCACTGTGGAAGGCCTCTGACACCAGGTGTCTGTGGCCCGGGGCCGCTGACACACACGCCCTGCCTGGCCCAGCTGTTGCTCCTGCGTCCACCGCCTTCCCTCTCCTCTGCCCCTGCCCTGCCCCTCACCCTCAACAAGAAACCAGCCGCCAAAAGGTTGCACTGCTCCGCAGAAAGGATGTACAGGAGGGGCAGGATGAGGCCCTTGAGCCCCTCCCCCCCAACCCCCGGGCCAGCCCCCCACCCCAGTCCCAGCCACTCACTCGTTCTTGACGAAAGCGTATTTGTTGATGGTTTCAATGACGTCTTTGAAGAGGATCTTGGAGGTCAGAGTGTAGCCATGGTGCACAATGGGCTCCCCGTCAGGCCCATCCCAGCAATCCACTGCAGGCACACAGGCCTCGGTGGGTTCCAGGGGCCGGACCACCGCTGCCCAGAGACCCAGTCCGTGGACGCTAACCGGACGCGGTCCTCTTGTGCCGCAGTTAACACCAGGAGAGACGTATCCTGGCCCCGGCCAGGCAGAGGGCAGGAACCGTGCCCAGAGACTCCAGAGGGCTCCTCGGGGCCACCCCGCCCTCCCACAGGAGACATCAGCCCACGGCCTAGGCCCGGCCCCTGGGGCCGAGGGGCGTGCTGGGTCCCAGAGCCCCAGCACTCACCCTCCACGCAGCGGCAGCCGGCCTGCAGGACCCAGGCGTACATGTCCACCCTCGACTGGGACATGAGCTGGTCGCCCACGAGGTAGGTGTTGTGAGACGAGGTGATGAAGTAGTGGCTCAGCGGCCACGTCATGTCCTGGTGTACACGGTGGTGCTCCGGGTTGAAGATGTCGCCAGCAGGGCTCCGAGTGTAGTTGGTGAAACCTGCTGGGGGAGCGTGGCGGGGGCACGGGGCTCAGCCCTGTGCCAGCCCCGCCGTGGGCTCACCTCGGGACCACCCGCCCCCATGCCGCGTGGACCCCTCTGCACCCCGCTGATCCGGCAGCGCAGCTGGGCCGGCGTGGCGCCCACTCACCGTCAATGCCCATGGTCCCCTTACTCTTGTTCTCCGGGCAGGGCTCAAACTGCTCGATGATGTCACGGCAGCTCTCGAGGGTCACGCCCGTCATCTAGGCCAGAGCAGGGGCTTGAGGCCAGGCTGGCCCATCTCCAGCCCCACCGCGGGCCACCTCTGCGCACGGGCGCTGACCACGCGAGGCTGAGGCCCTGGTCCCTGCGGCGTGCTCCCCCGGTTGGGGGGCTCACTGGCCACCCCCAGTGGCATGAGACTTGGGACTCAGTGACCAGCAGACTCCAGAGGGTCCCCTGGGTTTGGAAGAGCTGGCGCTGACTGAGGACCCCTGGCAGGGGAGGGGTCTTTGGCATCATCAGCCAGGCCACCCGCCACCGCTGCTGTGTTAGGGGTCTCGAGGGCCGTGGACCAGGGCGGGCTGGCAGGGAACAAGGCCTGGTGTGAGAAGGACCACGTCCCATCTTGGAGGAGCCCAGGGGGCTCACCTGGCCCCTCCTGTCGCCTCCCCAAGTCCCTCGCAAGAAAGCTGTGCGTGGCAGCCGAGCCCAAGGTGGCCTTGCCCATCGGTGGACCCGTGTGTCAGAGGCTGAGTGACTTCCCAGGGCCCCACAGTGCAGCCCCCGGGAGCTCCCCGCTCCCAGAGGCAGACCCACCAGCAGGGCTACCTGGACGTCCCCAGGAATGTGGGGATGGGTATGTAGTGGGGGGAGAGGGGCAAATGGGGTCAGAGCTTAGAGCAGCTGTGGACCCAGGAGGCCCAGAGTCAGGGGCCAGGGCTCAAACCACCCAGCCGGTGGATAGTTTGGGCCGCAGACGGTAAGAAGAGCTCTGGAGAGCTTAGGGCGAAGGTCAGGGAGCAACGGGTCAGTTCTACCCATCCCAGCCCGGGCCGCGTTCCCTCCCTCCACCCCTGTCGGAACAGCGGCCCCTCAGCCTCACTCCGGCGCTGCCCACAGTAGCCGCACCCACGCCGTCTGCGGTCCGAGCCCCCCTGTGGCAGCGCTGTCCCCTCAGGGGGTGGCCTTCCCCCCTCCAACCCGGGCCCGGGATGAGGGGTCCAGGCCCCTGAGCCAGGCAGCGCCCGGGGAGCACTCGGCCTCTCAGGACAGATGGGGCGCCTGGGGCCGGGGACAGTAGAGGCAGGCACACCCTGCTGACACCCAGAGGCACCTGCACGTCTGCTGGACAAATGTTGGAGTGAGTTGGCAGTGGGCCCAGAGCCCTGGGGGTGGGAGCCAGCCAGACCCACGTGGCTGGACCAGGCCTGAAGGCTGGGCCAAGGGACCTAGGCCAGAAGATGCTCGACGCCAATGTCGGGGCCGGGGTCAAGCACGGGCTCACCTCTGGGAGTTCCGGGGGGGCCACGGTCAGGGCTGAGCCACTCTCCTTCCCCACCAGCTTGGTGGCTGTGGCCCGAGCCAGGAACCGAGGCAGGTGCAGTAAGTGGGCCTCAAATGCCAGACTGGTGCCCACACTTCCCCAAGCTCTCAGTCACACTGTGGACGAGCTCAAATGCCCCGGGAGGCCGCGGTGAGGCCACAGCCACCAGGAGCCCGGCTCCTGCCGGGGACGCTCACCTTCTGCTCCACCTCTAGGAAGCGCTGCAGGTCGGCGGCGTCCAGGTGGTCTTTGTGCTCGCTGTAGGCCAGCATGAGCAGGTAGAGGTCCCGGCGGGTGGACATCATCTTGTAGAAGGCACAGAACTCCTCGAAGCCCAGTGTCCCCTGGTGGTCATCTGTGTCTGCTTCCTATAACGCAAGGCCTCCGGGTCCCCTCACATCCCACCCTGGGCCTCAACCGCGAGGGTGCCTCCAAGCTCCCCATTCCTCAGTCAACCCTGAGTCGAATTGCCCCTCCCGCTTCCAGCACCACTGCCCATGTCACGGGCTCACGAATGCTCCCCAAGCCTGGCAGCGGCATCCTCACTGGGCTCCCCCTCGCCTCTCCCACCAAGAAGCCACCGAGTGACCCGTTAACACAGCTCTCACCCCACCTCCCCCTTTCCGAGCCTTCCCAGGTCAACCTGCAACTGAACCCAGCAAAGTCACCCCACCCTGGAGAAATACCCCACCCAAGAGCTAATGCCTACGCTGGGCTGTGATCTGTAACTAGGGTTGGCCATCCATTGATTAGAGAAGCACAGGGCCCCCGGGCATGCAGGAATCCCAGACTCCGGCTGCCACAGCAGAGATGCGAGGACAGTGGCTGAGACCAGAAAGCAGCTCACACAATTCCCACAGGAACCCCCCAGGCAAACCCACCAGGCTACTTCATGAATCCACTCACTCAGGGAGCACCTGCTGAGGTGTCAGACCCTGGGGACACCAAGAGCCCAGGCCAGGGACAGACCCAGAGGGCAAGGGCACCCAGTGCTGGAGGCCAGGCTGCCCTTAGGAAGTCATGGGGGTCCCTGGAGCTGGGCCAGAAGGGCCATGTGGAAGGTACTCAAGACCCTGAGTGCCAAGGTTGGGTCCTTAGCCTGGTGAGCAGGGTGGGGGGCGGGGGGTGGGGGTGGGTGCGACTGCCCGGCAAAAAGAGACACCAGGTTCAGCACCATGGAGAGCAGTGCACGCCAGCCTCTCGGGGCGTCTGCATTGTCTTTTCTCCTATGGCCACACAATCTGGGGTGGCTGGAGATGGGAATGAGGCCCCCTCTGAACCAGAAGTATCACCAGCGAGCCAGGTGCAGGCTACAGCCACCCCCATGTCCCCGGCCCCAGAGACAGTAGGGCTCCTGGGAAGGCTGCCCTGCCTGCCCCGGCCCTGTGGCTTGGCCCCTAGGTGGGCGCCCAGCACAGCCCGAGCATCTCCCTCCAGGACCCGGGTGCCCATGCCGGGTGCTCACACCAAGGCCAGGACAGGGCCAGCTTGGTATGAGGGGCCCAGCCCAGGGCCACCTGCACGGGGCCAGCGGATGCCAGATAAGGATCCCTGTGTCTGTGCCAGGTTTGGGGGCAGCCCTGTGTCTAGAGCTGGTGGGACGGACCCAGGCAGGGCACTCGCTGCAGGTCAAAGGGCCCCTCTGGGACGGAGTCGGGCTGGAGGCCCTCCCAGGGGCCGAGGCTGCAGCTGGGCAGAGATGCGGGGTGATCTGGCCTCTCCGCGGGCTCCGGGCTGGGCAGCATGCCGAGGCGGTGGCTGAAAATGCTCTGTGACGACGAGGCCCTCAGGGGCCCGAAAGGCGGCTCTGAGCCCTCGGCCCCAGAAATGCCTGTCTATGTGGTCATGCAGCCGCTCTCCTCTCCACAAAGGGAAACCGTGGCGGCTAAAAGCTCACGCCGGCCGGAGCTGTGCTGCTGGGCCAGGCCTCAGAGCCGCCCAGGGTGCGGCCTGGCCTATGTTCCACGGTTATTTTAGGCTTAATGAAATTACGCTCAAGCCACTCGTTACCCACCATACAGATCTCTCCTTTGATTAGGGCAGTTCCAGGCAGTGGAAACAATATTGAGATTTCTCGACCATAAAATTGTTACTAATTATCAGAGCCACTCTGCCCGGCTGGAGGTCAGCCCTCCTTCCCTGGGCTCCCGAGCGCCCACAGAGGGCCCCGTGCAGATGGGCAGGGAGGCCCAGGTGCTCAGGGGCCACCATGGACAGCGCCCACTTGGCACTGAGCTGCCCAGGGTCTGGGGTCAGCAGCTGTGGCCCACAGCCCCCTGCTGGCCTTTCTCCAGGGCCCCACTGGCAGGTCCTCCTTGAAGCGGTCTGGACAGCGCCCGGACACCACTAGTCCTGGGGCTGGTCAGAGGGCTTTGTGGGGAGCCCCTTTTGTGCCCAGGGGGTGCGGGAGAGGCCCAGACTCCTTACAGGAGGGGCAGGGGGCGTGGGCTCTCCGGAGCTCCCAGCGGGGGCATTTTCAAGCCAGGTCTTGGTGGTGGACCTTCAGGCCCCAGAGGCCTGTGCCCACTCGCACCCATTCCGTGGGGGGCACTCGTCTCTCGTCCTGCCTCCGAGGCCAATCTGAGCCCCTGACACAGCCTCACCGTTCTGGAAGGCACTGCTGACCCCCGAGCTGCCCCTGGAAGCAGGGCAGGCAGGGAACGGTGGGGCTGCTCTGCGGGCCTGAGCTATCTGCCGGCCCCTCACTGCCCAGGCCGGCTCTGTCCCCGCTGGGGCCTTCAGGAGGGGCCCTGTGAGCCCCCCAGTACTCACCCAGCAGTCCGAGAGCATTCTGCTCACACCACCCCGCCCCCGCCATTCACGCACAGATCCATGTGCTCCGGGCCAGCCAGCTCCCCTCGCTCCAGCCAAGCACAACCTCCCGTCCCTCATGAGAGCCCAGAAGGGGGCAGCCGGGCGCCCGAGCCTCGTGGAGCGGTTGGCTCTGTGTGTGTGTGTGTGTGTGTGTGTGTGTGTGTGTGTGTTGGGGCGCAGGGCCTGGTTCAAGCTCGCGGAACCCTCTTCCCAGGTGGCAGCAAGACAGTGAGGCCTGAGTGAAGTGGAGTTTGCTCGCCCGTCCCCACCTGGATCCAGGACCTGCTGACACCGCCTTCCTCCCCCGGCCCAGCAGCGGTTCCGCAAAGAGAGAAACTAATTACAGACAATAAAGGCCGCCGCTCAACTGAGGATGCATTGTCATAACTGCTAACACCGGGGTGGCTGGGCGGTGGGTAACCAGAGCTGCTGCCCAAAAGGCAGGGCCTGTGCACCCCACTAAGTCTGGGGAATCGCGGGGCAGTGTGGGACGTGGGGTGCAGGTCCTGCGGGTGGTTCCCCTCGCTGACCTGGCGCCTGCCCACATGTCCGGTCCGCCGGCCCGGGGAGGCCCCAGGAGCTGCTGCAGTGGTGCCGGCACAGCTGCAAAGAGGGGGCAGCTTGGGGCATCTGACTGACCGCCCCGCACAGGTGCAGGACGGCTGCTTCCCTGCCATTTCCTGCAGCTTGGATGGCACCGCCCGGGACCTCCTGCAGCTTGGAAAGGGCCGGCCTGCTGCCGGACACACGCTCGGGGCCCGAGACCCCTGGCGGCCCCGCCGGCCTCACCTTGAACATCTGCTTAACCCTCTGCCGTGGCAGGTTCACGTTCAGCTTGTGTAGCAGCTGCAGGACCTCCCCGAGGCTCAGGCTGCCGTCGCCGTTCTTGTCGGCCTCGTCAAACGTCTGCTTCAGCCACTTTGGGGCCAAGTTAGGGGCCAACGGAGGTGCAGCAAGGCCAGCTGCGCCTCCCTCCCCTCCCCTCCCCGGGCAGGAAGGCGTGGAGGACCCCGCCCAAGTTCCCCTTCCCGAAATATGTGAGCCAGCTGGGGCTCACCCGCCCCACACGGGGGACAGTGAGGGGTGGTCCCCGGGGCCCTCCCGCCATCCGTGAGGATATTGGTCCCGGGTGCGCTGGCGGCGGGCCAGGCTGTCCTCATCACGGATGCCAGCCATGAGGTAGCGCAGGCCGGTGACCCAGGTGCGCGCCTCGTCGCCGCTGGGCGAGACCAGGTCCAGCGACTCTCGGTGGCTGCCGTAGTAGATGCTGAAGCAGCAGTTAGGGTCGAAGCTGCTGTCGGGGAAGCGCTGGAAGACCTCTGACTGCCGCCCCTCGCTCACCTCCTGGATGGAGTCGATGGAGACTGCAGGGGGCGGGGGGCACGGTCACAGCCCTCCCCAGGGCCAGGCGTCCTCCACCCGCAGGCCCCAAGGTGCTCTCAGCAACAGCTGGGGCCCTTCGGGGTTTCCCGCCCCGCCTGAGCCTGGGGCCGCCTCGGTAATAAAGTCTGGCACCAGGTGGGGGCCGGGGGGCAGCGGGGCCCGGCTTGGCGCGCACCAGCTCAGGCGCCATCAGGGATTTCATGACTGGCTGCAGCGCCTGCAGCTCCGTGGAGCCTCCGTTCAGAAGCTGAGTCACCGCAAGGAGATGAGCTGAGAAGGGCGTTTGTAGGGTCTGTTCCTGTGCCTGAGGCAGGGCCCCTTCTCAGGCAGTTGGGGCACAGGTGGGCAGCATCCCCGCTGGGAGCAAGCACCCTGGGCTCGGCACAGCCAGGGACTCCAGCACTGCACCCCCTGCCCGGCTCCTGCCCCCGGCGGCAGGCTCGGCACCACCCTGGACGTTATCGTGTCCCGTGCAGTAACGATGGGTCTTCCCCACTCGCACAGTGAAGGGTGCGCGAGTCCTTCTGTCTTCTGCCCCCACTACCCCCTCCCCGGGAGCTCCCGCCTCCCCAGCTCCCTGTGCGCACGCATGTTCGTGGTGGGGGTGGGGGTTCTGGGCCCCCAGATTAGGGGGCGCTGACAGTCAGGAGACAGCTGCCCCCGCACTGTTCCTCCCTCCTGGGGACCCCTCCATGGCCAGAGTCAGCTGTTCTCCCCCCGTCCTAGCCTGCTGGTCTCTGCCCTGTCACCCCTTCCCCAGAGGGGCCTCCACGACCCCCACCCACCTGCTCCCCTCTATTTGCCATCCTGTGTTCTTGTCACTCAGCATGATGTGAAGTTATCCTACCGTTAGGTGGTGTCACCCACCTCGCACTCAAAAGACGAGCTTCATGGCGGCTCAGCTCCCAAAGGATGCCCAGTGCTGGGAACAGTGCCTGGCACAGAGCAGGCGCTCCGGATGGAGCACAGGGGCTCCTGCCTGAGCAGCCAGTGGCGGTTCCACCTCCCCGGGGCCCACAGGGCAGTCCCAGCCCCCTCCTCCAAGACACCCTCCCAGGGGGCTCCACAGCATGGCTCTCTCCTGGGCCCCATGGTGGCAGCAGTGCCCTTAGCAACCATGGGGCTGAGGCCCTGCCCCGGCACACCTGCGTCTCTCCAGTCGCCAAAGCCAGAGGAGGGGCCATAAAGTCCCCTCTCTCGCCTGTAAGGACTCACGTGTCTCTTCCTGACCCCCAGGACCCCCAGCCTGGTCCCTGCCCAAATCCTCACAGCTCATTACCCGCCACCACCCATCCAGACAGCTCTGCAGCCTCCACACGCCTGTCAGCTGCTCAAACCCCAGGCTGCCTGGGCCAGCATTCAGCACCGGGGTCGTACCCTCAGGGTGCCCAGCAGGGTCTCTCTCTGCTCATGAGCGGTCTTATCTCCCCGGCTAGACTGAAAGACTTTTGCCTCTCAGCGCATCTCAGCATCCGGAGCAGGGCTGGGCACTGGGGCTACTCAGTCTCCACTGAGTCCCAGAGGGCTCTGCTAGGTGGGCAGCAGGGCCAGGGCCCTCACCCCACTGCGTCCAGATGTCACCGAGGATCTCCAAGGCCAGCTGAGCCCATGGGCCAGGCCTGGGGACTTCCAGGGCTCAGGTCTTGCTGCCCCTTCAGCTGCCCAGTGGCTGCTCTGGGAGGGTCCTCTGCCCCCCTGGGTGCTGGTCTGGGGGCTCTGCCCTGCCCACCGCTCCCCCACCCAGGGCCACCCCACTCACTCTTGGCCTTCTCATTCTTGCGTGAGGGCCGCCAGCGGATGCAGGAGCGGTGTTCATCCAGGAAGTAGAAGCGGACCAGGCCCTTGGAGCTGCCACGGAGCTTCACCATCTGTGTCCCCGCCTGCATGGCACTCATACATCGCTCCACTGGTGGCCCACCGACCCGGCACACAGATGGACCGACACAGACAGACACAGACAGACACAGACGGGGTGCTGGTGAGCATTGCAGCGGCCCCTCCGTGCTCATTGCAGCCTCAGCCCCGCCCCCACGTGCTCAAGGGGGTGCAGAGACCATCCACCCGCCAGGGCACCGAACTCAGACCCCAGGCCTGCCTGAGGCCCCAGGTGCTGGCCCAGGCCACAGGTCCAATCTGGGACCCTGACGAGAGGCCAGAGTCCACACAGAGAATTGGACCGATTCTGCCCAGCCGGGCTCCTGTTGGCCTCCCCAATGGTCCTGCGGCCCAAGGGCCAGGCGAGGTCCCAGACGGGACCCTTCCCACCCCCCAGCTCTGCCCTGCTTCAGCGGCCTCCCACCCACCCCCTTCCACCACCATGACCTGCCCCAAAGGCTATGACACACGAGAGGACACAGGGATGGGTGGCCAAGCCCGCTCTCAGGAGCTGCTAGGCAATGAGGTCCCGGGCCAGGCACAGGGTGGACCCAGGCGGGCGGCATGCAGGCAGACCCCCACGATGCCCAGCCTGGCTCACCGGCCCGGCCGCAGGCGCTCCTGAGAGCCTGCATCCCCTTCCCGTGGCATCTTCAGGAAACCGCCCTCCTCACACGCGCCGCAAGGGTGGCACCACACACACCCACCCGGAGGCCACAGAGGAGGCTCCATGAGGCCAAGGCCCCACACAGGTCTGGGAAGGTGCAGAGCCCACACATTCCCCCAGGGGGCCCCACTGCCTCTCCCCTCCCCTCCCCCTCCCTCCCCTCCTCCTCCCCTCCTCCCCCTCCCCTCTCCTCCCCTCCCCTCCTCCCCTCCTCCCCC